TGCCACGGTTTCGTCAGACTCGAACGAATAGGGGAAGAGAAAACATCATCATCTTACGGTGGCTCTCTGTTGAGACGGATGCCCACGGCCTCCAATTCAGCCTCGAGCAGCGCCCTCTGCTCCGCCTTCTTGGTCGCGTCCAGCACCATGAGAATCATGTCGCTCGTCTTGGCCGCCGAGATGACCTGCCGTCCTCTACCCTTGCCCTCGGCGGCGCCCTCGATGATACCCGGCAGATCGAGCAGCTGGATCTCGGCGCCGCCGTACTCGAGGACGCCCGGAATGGCCGTGAGGGTCGTGAAGGCGTACGAGGCCACCTCTGATTTCGTCCGCGTGACCTTGGAGAGGAAGGTGGATTTGCCGACCGAGGGGAAGCCGACGAGGGCTATTCGAGCGTCGCCGGATTTGCTGACGTCGAAGCCTGCGCCGCCGCCGCCGCCTGCTCCTGGGCCTGGTTCGAGGAGTTGTGCTCGGAGACGGGCGAGTTTACTTTGTGTGTTTGTGAGAAAGGATTTTGAGTTGTGGTAGCTGAGGACTTACCCCTTTAGGAGACCAAGATGATATTCTTTGAAGGTCTGTTGTTAATCATGATTTGTTGCTTGATCCGGCTTGTTTGACAAACATACCAGTCGCCTTGTTCTCTATAGGAAGTTAGCAAGAATTCTATGCGAATGCAACATTGCGCTCGGTCATCTCTCTCTCCGGTCATGTTCACGATCAACTTGTAGAAAGGACATTCTCATTTCCCGTCGATCCTTCGAGTCTCTCCAAGTTGGCCAGAATGTAGATGAAATGACTTTTGAGAAATGACCCGAAGGCATGAGAGGATGCGTCTTACTTTGGGTCTTTCTCATCTCATCCTCAATCCTAGTGGCGCATCATCAGCCTCCCGCTCGCTTCGATTTCGTCGTGGTGGAGGTAGGGGGGTTTCCGTACTCCTTGATCTTTTCCGTAATGTTCACCATCTTGGCGATTTATGAGCTCAAAGTCCTGAGACTCTGACAAGTCCTATAAATCAAAAAGATGGTGATGAGCAATAAGCGCTTCGCTTTCTGATCGACGAGAGTCGGCTTCGCAAGTTCATGGTGGGGCAGGTCGACCTCCCAAGGCGTAGGAAGAGTGAACCGTGTGGCAGAATTTACCGCGGGGCTGCGTTGGAGCGACAAGGGTCTCCACTCACCGCCCTCGAACCACTGAGAGTGCGCCATGGTCTGCGCCACAGCTTTATCGCGATAACAAATTTCCAAGCCTCGCCGCGTGCGCTCACTGTTGCCCCGTCGTCGACATCCATCCAAAAGGCACCATCCACACTCGAGCTATCCGACCATCTCTCTACCACGACATCCACCGCATCGAAATACCCCTCAAGACCGCAACTATGTCGGACGAAGTCGCGCAAGCTCGACCCGAGGAGGTCGATGGCCCAAAACCCGAGGACAACGCACAGGAGACAGCGCTGGCGACAACCACCACCGAGGTCGCCGCGCCGACAGAAAGAAAAGTAAAAAAGATCATCAGAAAGAAGAAGAGGCCGGCGCGCCCGCAAGTCGACCCGTCCTTCATCACCTCGGAGCCGCCGCCGCAGACGGGAACAATCTTCAACATCTGGTACAACAAGTGGTCCGGCGGCGACCGCGAGGACAAGTACCTCTCCAAGACGCACGCCAAGGGCCGCTGCAACGTCGCCAAAGACAGCGGATACACGAGGGCCGACAAGGTCACGGGAAGCTACTTTTGTCTCTTCTTCGCGCGCGGAATATGTCCCAAGGGCCAGGACTGCGAGTACCTGCACCGCCTGCCGGGCATCCACGACATCTTCAACCCCAACGTCGACTGCTTTGGCCGGGACAAGCACTCCGATTACAGGGACGACATGGGTGGTGTCGGTAGTTTTATGAGGCAGAACCGTACGATTTACGTAGGAAGGATACACGTCACGGATGATATCGAGGAGATTGTGGCGCGTCACTTTGCGGAATGGGGCCAAGTTGAGCGAGGTAAGTTCAATGCAGGAATTCCGCGCCTGGACGCATGCTGACCTTTTTTGCAACTAGTTCGTGTACTCAACACTCGCGGAGTCGCATTCATAACATACTCCAACGAGGCTAACGCACAATTCGCCAAGGAGGCTATGGCGCACCAGTCTCTGGACCACGAGGAGATCCTCAACGTGCGATGGGCGACCGCCGACCCGAATCCGATGGCGCAGGCGCGCGAAGCGAGACGGATCGAAGAGCAGGCCGCCGAGGCCGTCCGACGCGCGCTCCCTGCGGAGTTCGTGGCTGAGATCGAGGGCAAGGACCCGGAGGCCAGGAAGAGGAGGAAGATCGAGAGCAGCTACGGGCTCGAGGGCTATGAGGCGCCGGACGAGGTCCATTTCGCGCGGGGCGCCAACGCCGTTAACCCCGTCGGCCGTGAGGGCCATGAGGTGGAGTACCAGGAGCGGCCCATGCTCGAGAATGGCGGCCAGGAGCAGTACGATGGGTTGCCTATGCTTCAGCAGCAGCCGTCGATTGTGTCTGGCGGGATCTTCTCCAGCAGCACACTGGCGGCCCTCAACGCGTCCAAGGTCGCAGTGGCGTCGAAACCAAAGGTTGCTGTGTCTTCTGGGCCGTTGGTCGGCTACGGCAGCGACGATGATTCCGACTGAGCCCTAGGCTGGTTGGTTTTGTATGACTAATAAGGGGCAAGGAGAAAGAAAGAATAAAAGCGATCATGATACCCCATTTGAGAATGGAAACACATCGAAAGTAGAGAAGCCGAGTGAACAATAAATAATCAACTGTTGAATATTCGTGAATACAGAACCTCGTGTCTCCCTATCCATAGATCCATCACCGGCATCGTCTGCCCGGCTCTCTCAACCGGCGTGCTCCACTCCCGCTCAATGGCGGCGGAAATGAGTTGCTGAACCTGTGTGCTCGCAAGCACCTTTTGCGCCTGGTAGGGCCCAAACATGCTGGCTCTCACGGCAGCTGAGATGAGGGCCTTGACGTGGCCCATCATGAAGATGTAGGCCGTCTGCTGGAGGGTGAGGCCCACGAGGTTACAGATTGCGCCAAAGAGGGGCGCCAGGTGAGCGAAGACAAGCGGGGGTTCAGCCTGGTCGTCTGCAGTCGCAGATACTGCCCGCGACGAGGTGGCCGTCTTGAGAAGCGCCGCGTATGGCTGGAGAGTCGCGACAACAGGGGCAGGGAGGGAGGACGCAAAGGAGCGTTCCCAGATGGAGAGTAGGGCGCGGCCCTGGGCGATGGAGGCGCGGCGGCCGACGGTGCAGATGATGGCGGCATCGAGCTCGTCGTCTAGGTCCGCGACGTCGGAGGGGGAGCGGTGCGCTGCTAGGACGAAGGGCAACGTCGTCGAGGCGTAGGCGGAGATGGATTCCGGGAGGAAGGTGTTGAAGGAGGAGCGGGGCCGGGTGTGGGCCAGGTAGGACTCAAGGCCGCTGCTGAAGGCGAAGGAGCCGAGGGGCAGGGCTGAGTCTGAGAGGAGGAGGAGGTAGTGGTTTGTTTGTGAGGGGGATGGTGGTACTGAATTCGTGTTAGTTGACTTGAGTTGTGAATAGTTTTGAGATGTACTCATAATGAAGATGTGTAGCTGGGGTTGAACTGACATGAGGGTTTTGATGAGATGCCTCGAGACGGTAGAGATTCGGCGGGTAGTTCTGTATGTCCTTTGAGATCGTTCAACTTTCCCCTGGCAGCCTTGAGGCGTGCCTCTAGCTCCAGGATCTCCTTCTCAGCATCGTCAACAGATCCATCCCGCGCCATTGAATCCATTCCGACAACCTGCAAAAGCCGTCTGAAGAATAAGACTCGATGTTGCAGTTGATAAGCTTCCGATAGCGGGAAGGGGTCCCTGCAGGATCGGGGGAGTGTTCGTTCAGGGGCTGCATCGAGCTTAGCCGCTCTCCTACTGCAAGGAAGGGCGCGCCGCCGGGGCACTCTCTGGGACTCTGGGACTCGCTGCAGGGATTATGTTCGGCGTCTGCTCTCGTCCCACCCGCCCGTACCAACTTGCTCACCTCGGCGATTGATGGAGTAAAAAAAAGACAAGAGCTTCACCTTTCACGCCTTACAAGGTAGCTCTACATCGTACCGGTAGGAAGCCCGCCCGGTGAAAATCGTACGATCTCATCAATCAAAAGTCTCGGACTTTTTTCGCTTCTGAATATCTTCAATTGCACCTCCCTTCATCGCCTACATACGGGTCACTTTCACGGACCACAAAGGTCTCGACGTCATCAACTCTCTTCTCCGCAGACACAGACCGGCGCCCCGGTCGACAATGCCAGCAGGATGGCGACGCACGACAAGATGAAGAGCGCCGAGGCCGACGACGCCGCGTGGGAAGCTACCCGGGGAGCCTTCATCGGCGCCGCGAGATGGGGTCTCGGAGCCGCCGTCGTGGGCGCCTTTGCGTACAAGTTCTCGCCGCTGTACAAGGGCCTCACTATCCAGTTCAAGATGTAATACGTCACCTCACGCGACACTACCCAAGTCCCCCTTATCCTTTCCCCCTTTTTCTCCTATCTCACTCGCTTGTTCATTCACTTCGTCTCGTAATATTGGATGAAATGTGACTGACATAATCACGGCAGTTATATGCAAATGTCGGCCATGGTGCTGGGAAGCATGCTGGAGGCGGACAACAGGTTACGAGAGTATGAGGCCCGCGTCAGATTGCAGAAGCGCATTCTGAGGGATAGGGCTAAGTGGGAGAGATTTGAGCGGGAATTTTATGAGGATCCTAACGAGAAGAAATGAACGGTAACCATCACAGGCGACTGAAACCGAAATTGACACTCTCAATGGGACAAAAGTTGATCTCAAGCTGTATTTCATAGTATTGTATACCTAACATGGGACATTCAAACCCTTGACTTTTTGTTTTTCGAGCTACACAGAAAAGGTACCCCAGACCTGATTTAACCCCCAACGCCGGATCATGCAAGTCATTATGCCCCGCCAGTAGCGAGTCTTCTATCGGCTGCCAATTCTTCATTTTGAGGGAGCCTCGAACCTCTTGGGGTCCATGTTGAGCTTGCAGAGCCTCGCAACGCAGCCGCTCAGCTGCAGCAGCGTCTGCACGCCCTCCAGAATCTTCATGTGCGTGAATCCAATCTCCTTGATGAACTCGAGCTTGGAGTGCTCGCTCAGCGTCGGGATCGTCTTGGTGACCTTGAACATGGTGCTGATGATGTCGTGGCTCGAGTACCCCAGGTCCCAGAGCTCCCGCAGGCTTTCGAGCGCCGAGTCGACATTGCCCTCGTAGCACGCCTTGAGCATCGCCTGGACCTTGATCGGGTGCGGCGAGTCCACCACCTTGAAGACGTTGTCGCCCGACACGAAGCCGAAGCCGGCAAACGTCGACTGCAGGTTGTTGATGGCCTGACGCATGTCGCCCTCGGCGCTGAAGACGAGTGCCGCGAGGCCGTCGTCGCTGTATTCCACCTTTTCAGCTTCAATGATTTGCAGCAGTCGCTTGACGACCTGCTCGTCGGTGAGTCGGGCGTAGCGGAGGATGGCGCATCGTGACTGCAGCGGTTCGATGATCTTGTTGGACTGGTTGCAGGCGAAGGCGAAGCGCGTCGTGTTGGAGTAGATTTCCATTGTCCGGCGGAGGGCCTGCTGAGCGCCTGATGTCATGCTGTCGGCCTCGTCGAGGATGACGAGCTTGTGGCGGCCTTGGGGCAGGGTGACCTTCTTCTGCGCGAAGCCCTTGATGCGGTTGCGGACGACGTCGATTCCTGTGCCTGAGCGTCAGTATTGGATGTGACACAGACAGAACACATCTGTTAACATTACCTCTCTCGTCGCTGGCGTTGAGCTCCAATACAGCCTCCTTGTATGTGTCTCCGAGCAATTGTCTCGCCAGGCAAAGCACACTGGTAGTCTTTCCGATACCAGGCATGCCCGAGATGATGACGTGCGGCATGTTTCCCTCCTTTGCAATGATCTTCAGGCGATCAATCGTCTCGGTGTTTCCGACAACATCGTCAAGGAAGACTGGGCGGTACTTTTCGACCCTGAAGCACGCATATTAGCAGCTGGGTCGGAAAGCTGGGGGAAGTCTATAGTGACTGACCAGGGAAGCTCATAATTAGGAACGCCGTTTGACGCCGCAGTCAATGCCTTCTTGGCTGCGGACGTCGAAGACTCGCCAGCCTCCTCTGGCTTCGTGATCTGCTTCTGAGCGGGCATGGCGGCTTTTTCCTTTGGCTGGGATGTTGGGAGATGCAGATAGCAGATCGTCAAGTTGCTGGAGTTCTGTGCAGGCAGTGGGCAGAAGCACTTTACGCGATGCTCATCGAAAAGACGCGTCGGGTGCGGAACGCGCTAAACTTCTCTGGGTCCACCCTTGTCTTCCCTGCCTGGTCTCCAGCACCCAACCTGACCGACATCTCACAAACACCACTTGTCAGTCCTGAAAGTTTCCCCTCCCGACCTTCAATACGTAGACATGATTACAGTGTGTAGTCACGATTTTGTCGCATCACGAAACCTTTTAACCTATCTTCTCCAAAAAGTACTCGAAACATAAAGGCATTCAACTTTTTTTCATTGCATTTTGTTCATCCAAGGTATCTAGTCATCGTCTTCATCGGCCTTCTTCTTACCCTTCCTGGTCTTCGCACCTCCCTTAAAGTGCTTCTTTCCGGACGACAGCTTCACGTCTTTGGGGTCAACTCCGCTTTCCAGAGCAATCATCGCTCTTGCCTTTCTTCCACTCAAGTGCTTCTGCCCCTGCTCCGTGTACTTGTGGCTGAAGGGCATCTTGGTGTGACCGCCACTGCTGTTGGGGCCAAAGAAACCCTTGTCGATCTGCTTGGACTTAGGACCAGCCGGCAGAGCTGCTAGGTCTGAGGGAGCTATCGAAATATCGTCGTCCACAATGGACATGGTGTCCATAGACGTGCTGAGGGCTCGACGGCGCTTCTCAGGGAGATGCGTCTCGTCATAGAGCTCTGCGTTGAACTCTGGGCCCTCGACTGTTCCTGGTGGCGGCTCACAGTACAGGAGCTTTCCGGCAACGTAATCTTTGAGGATGTAACGAGATGCTCTTGACTCGTCAGGCTGGCCCAATCCTTGGGTCTGGAAACCTCTAGCTCTGGCATATGCGCGGAGCAACTCCGGAGCCGTAGGAGTGCCAGTGCCTCCCTCTTCGATAGCGCGGGTCTTGATCTTGATTCCGTAGACGGCTTCCAAGAAGGACTTCGGTATCCTCCTGGTGACCAAGCCAGCCGGTCCTTGGAACTCTCGCAGTTGATCAATAGGCAACACACCGTTGCAGACCAGGTCGGCTTTGGTGTTTGCGAAGTTGGGGTAGACCAAACCAGGGCAATCGCACAGGACAACATTGTCGCTGAGGTGAATTGTCTGGAAGTGCTTGGTCTTTCCTGGTGTTGACGAAACTGACACCTTCTTGGCACCAATCAAGGCGTTGATGGTGGAAGACTTTCCGACGTTAGGGTATCCGACAAGACCAATCTGCAGCTTGTGGCCAGGCTCTGTTCATCCACCGTCAGTATCCAATCCAAATCACGTTTCGGGGGGGTCGTCATACCTGCGTTCTCGGGAGCATGGCTGAGGAAGATTTCCTCCAGCTCCTCCACCGTAAGAATTCTCGTATCTTCGTCATCAACGTCAGCCTCAGCCTCCGGCTGCGAAATCTCAGGCTGAGCGGTCTCTGCGCCGCCGTCCTCTTTGTCGTCCTTCTCTTGCTCATTTTCATCCTCCTCTGAGCTCTCGTCCTTGGCGGATGCGGCATCCTTCGTGGCAGCGTTGGAGCTGCTGCCAGCCTCAGGTTCTTCCTCCTCTGACTCGTCTTCGCTCTCCATAGCCTCAAGTAGTTCTTTCGCAAGATGCGCAGAGAAGAATCTGTACGCAATGCCGTTCTCCTTCAGGTACTTTGCCCACATCTTGCGCTGCTTCAGTGTGAGCATGTCGGCCTTGTTGATCAGCAGCAGGTTCTCCTTCTTCGAGTCGATGTCTTTGACGTAGTGCTCCAAATCCTCGGATCTGAAAAGCAAGGGGTTCCTAGCATCGACGATCTGAACAATCAAGTCTGATCGTTCAATGACACGCCAAAGCTGCCTCCACACCTCAAGGTTACGCTCGAACGGCGTCATGAGTAGATCGTTGTTCTCCTGAAGTTCGGCGAGGCCTCGTCTCCAGTCAAGGAAACTTTCTCTCTCCCGTCTGTCCAGCTCCTCCGGTGTGGTGGACGCATCCCACTTTGGTCTTCTTGGCACTGTCAAGCGTCCTCTGTGAGCCTTCTGCTTGCCAATGATGGCCCTTTCCTCTGCTCCAGAAAGCAGATACGGGTTCTTTTGGTCGGTGTGGATGATCTTGACGTTGTTCATTTTCTCCGCCGTAAAATCCGTGCCCGCCAGCTCTGCGGTCGCGAGGAACTCGTCAAGAGCGCCTTGCTCGGTAACTGATCGCATCTTGACCCATGATGCTTCTTGTCGCTCGTTCGTGAGGTACTAGCAAAGTGTGAGTGCTTTCCTGGAACTATCGGGACAGAGAATTCCGGCGTTGCCTCATTACCTCTTCTCCTGTAGCGTGGTTCACTCTGGTGATGGTACTCTTCTTCCTGTCTGCGCCACGACCCTTGCCAAAGCGATCGTTCATCAGGGCGTTGCCCAACCCTGCGGTCTTCTTGGATTTGGCGTGCACCATTTTCGCGGTGATCTATCGTCTCTCGCTACTTTGGAAAATAGGGTGAAAAATGCGCAGTGGAAAGAAACGACTCCCAAAGCTGCTTTGTGAATCAGAATGAGTAATAGTGGGAGCCGTCGCAAGTGCCCGCCTTGAAGAGAATAGCAGTGCCCCGCGACGATTAATCAGCGGGGCAAAAAAGTGATTTTGGGCGTTTATCGATAAGAGTTTTTTTTTTTTGCGACCGCGGGGCTCCCATCTGTGCGTCCCACTGAATCTCTCCCTCTTGCGCACCCAAGAACGGTCAATTCGACAAGCCCGGTATACTATTGCGCAAAACACTCCAAAGTAGACAAAATGGCGAAGGGAAAGAAATTGTAAGTTTATGTGTATTCTTATGGTGTGGTAGCTGACATTTCTTTCCAGCGACAAGAAGAGTGCGCAGCACTTCACCCTCGTCCACCGACCGCAAAATGACCCCCTCATCCACGACGAAAATGCGCCCTCGATGGTGCTCAACCCGGTGCCTCAGAAGGGTGGACCGTCGAAGAGCAAGCATCTGAGCGACCTTGCGTCTGAGTTCGGATCAGAAGCTGGAAGCATACGCGCAAACGAAGGAGAGGCGGCAGAATACGGCGTTTACTTTGATGACACTGAGTACGACTACATGCAGCATCTGCGCGGCTTGAACTCGGGGGGTGGTGAGGCCGTCTGGGTCGAGGCCTCTGGTGCGGCAAACAACGACAGGAAGGGAAAGCAGGCGCAATCACTTGAAGATGCACTGCGCCAGATGGATCTGGAGCACAAGAGCGAAGATCTGCTGGATCCCTCAGTCCTCCCCAACAGAAACCTGCCACGAACCAACTATGAGACACAGGTGGATATCCCCGATGCCATCGCTGGTTTTCAGCCCGATATGGACCCCCGCTTGAGGGAAGTGTTGGAGGCATTGGAGGACGACGCATATGTGGATGACGACGACGATATTTTCAAAGAGCTCTCCAAGGACTCACGTGAAGTCGATCAGTACGAATTCGAGGATCAATACGGCTACGACGACGAAGATGAGGGCTGGGAATCAGACGACACCGCAAAGCCGAACAAGGAGTACAAGGACGGAGTAGTGCCGCAGCTGGTCCCTGTTGAGGGAGAGGCATTACCAGAACACCAGAACGAAGACTGGATGGAGGACTTTAAGCAGTTCAAGAAAGACCAAAAGGGCGGCAAGGTCCAGCCGGCCAAAGATACGCCGTCCGAGTTGCAGTCCTCCATTTGGACCACGACAACGATGGGTGGCCGGAAGAAGAAGAGAAAGGGTGCATTGACCAACCCCTCTGCCTTCTCCATGACCTCGTCAGCCATGGTCAGGACGGAGCAACTCACCCTTCTGGATGCCAGATTCGACAAGATTGAGGAGGAGTACACAAATGAGATGGGCGACGATATGGCATCTGTCTCAGAAGTATCAACGGCAACCAGTGTGACCGGACCCACCAGAGGCGACTTTGACAGTATCATGGATGATTTCCTGGGCAGCTACACCAAGCCTGGAAAACGCACAAACAAGAAGAACCGGCCGCAGACTGGTCTTGAGCAACTGGACGAGATCAGGCAGGGTCTTGGCCCAGCTCGGTTCCGCTCACTAAACACCAAGAGGGTTTAGGTCTGTTTGCGCCTAGATATAGAAGCATTCGGCGCAGCCTAGATTCCGGTCATCGAGATACCCTCACTGAGCGCCAGGTTGCATGAGATCTGCGCCCCATAGTGTTATGATAAACAAGCTGATGTTTTATGAACCACCGTTTCCTTAAACTTGAATTGGGATTTACCACATGCTGAAACCCTGGAGACTCTAGACTAATGATGTTGTGTTCAGTGATTCACATTTGTTGCTTCCACCAACGGAATAATTCTTTGTCGCTAGAGAGATTTGTCGATACTTCCCTTGTGGAAGGAACACCCGAAAGTGTCTGTGAAGAATGTTCCTGCCGTCAGAGAACCCTGAGAGGTTCAACGCAAACAAAGAGGGCGTGCCTTTATCTCTCACACACCCCTCGCTCAGTGGAACGCAGCTGTGGGCCATAGCTTTGCTGGCTTTAAACGCCGTTAAACGCGATACGCGCCGAAAAAAACGCGGCAAACGCAGACCAGCTCCATCCTAGTTCTCCACTTGGTTCTTGTCTGCCTCGTAGTTTCCTTCTTGTTTCCTTTCGCGAACCCGACATGACGTCGGTCTCTTTCCCTCCCAGCAGACCCGACAGGAAGCTATCGCCATTCGGAGGCACATTGACCGGTGGCTTTGGAAGTCAGCCTGACGCGAGCAAAAACGTTTTCGGCCTCAATGGGGCGGGTGCCGGCGGTGGGCAGCGGTCGACACGCAACTTGAATAACCAGCCTCCCGATATGACGACTCCTGCGACAAAGCGGAAGGGCGTCAACCCGTTCGATGGCGCCAGCTCAGACGATAACCGACGACGAAAAAACACGAAGGGAGATTCACAAGGCGACTGGAAGAAGAAGGGTCCCAAGTCGCAAGGCGCGAAGCCAAATGGCGCGAAGCCAAATGGCGCGAAGGCGCCGAAAGGGTTTGGAACCGCCCAGTCGCGCGGTGGTTTCGGCACCCAAAACAACAACAATCACAGCTCGGGATCTACCGACTACGAAACGGACGACGCGAATGGCGAATTGAATGGTGACGGCACTGCGTACTCCGACAAAATCTTCTCGCAACTACGACAGGATGGAATCGCACCACCAAAATGGCCGTCCGATCCAGGAAATACGTCGTCCAAGGCCGCGATGGCCAAGTTCAGGGAAGAATACAAGACATATCGCGATCGGGCTAGGACGTCACTGATGCGCGCCGGCTTAATTGACGACCCCGATAAGCCAAAGCGGTTGGAAGACGCGATTGACTTCAAAGGCATCTGCGACGCGATGTGCCCCGACTTCGAGAAGATTACTCGCATCACCGAATTCGACGTTCAGGCCGCCGAAAAGGACCCCCGAACGACTTTTGCCAATACATCAAAGATGGTTAAGAAGCTGGCGCGTTCCGCAGCTGGCCAGGAGGCTCCGCTACCAATGGATGTCAGATCCACAGCCGCCCTCAGAAGGACGCTCGACTACCTCATCGACGACCTCTTACCGATCGACGACAAGTTACCCTCTTCGCATGGTTTTCTGTGGGATAGAACACGTGCGATTCGTAGGGACTTCATCTTTCATTCGACAATGTCTGCCGAGGAGATGAAGGACCAGGTTTACTGTCTCGAGACAATTGCCAGGTTTCACGTTACAGCTTTACATTTGCTTTCTCAGGAAGGATTTGCGCCAGAAGACTTCTCTGAACAACAAGAAATTGAGCAACTGGGGAAGGCATTGCTTTCGCTTATGTTTGCTTACGACGATTGCAAGCCGCAAGGCGTCGTTTGCGAAAACGAGGCCGAGTTCAGGGCGTATCATTTGCTTTTCAGCGCAAATACTCCCAATATCCTCGATAATGTGCAAAAGGAATGGGGAGACTCTCGCTTCTGGACCGAATCCGATACCATCAGAACAGCTGTCTCACTTGTCGAGAGTCTGCAGAGCGCAGAGGACTTCCACGGCCCCTTGGGCTCGGGCCCGTCCATGGCAACATCGGGTGCCTCCCTCACTTACTTTAGAATCCTCCAAAGCCGAGAAGTGTCTTATACAATGGCATGTTTTGCGGAGATTCACTTAGGTCAGCTGCGCCGCTCAGTTCTTCGCTCTTTGAAGAAGGCGTACACCAGACCGCGACACGGGGCGAAAGATATTACGCCCTCTTCGCTAAACCGATTTCTTCACTTCGACACAGAAAACCAGGCGATTGAGTTTGTCGAGCAGCATGGTCTCAGCTTCTCAAATGGACAAGGACCAGCGGGCGAACCCGTACGATATCTGGATACCTCAAAACGCATGACATGGCCGAGAATCCATCACAGTTTCTCTCAGAGATTGGTTGAGAGAAAACGAGGCTCCCGTAGTCTTCCTGAGATCATCCACCGCACAATTGCCGACGAATCCACGGGCGCTAGCCAGCAGGCTCCTACAGGATTTTCGACGGGGCCAGCTTCATTCAAGCCGCCTCCACAGCAGGCTCCTTTTGGAAGCCACTCAACAACGAACGCAGACTCTCCTTTTTTCAAGTTGCCTTCTTCGGCACCCCAAGGAGGCACCTCGACGGGACTCATGGGTACGCCGTCTTTCGACAAAGGTAAAGAATCTTCCATACACTACCCACATCGTTGTAGCCTCTTGCCTACCAGCACCGTTGTCGACGTCAAATTCATTGCGACTCTCCTCCGCCGGACCATTTCTCTTCAGTCAAGATCGAACGTCACAGTGCCAGATTTCAGACGTGGCAATACTTGGTGCGGCTGATCAACTGGCAGCCGTTTCAGAGGTTGAGAAACGCTCAAACAGTCATCGCAACCAGGACGAGATGACTAGCAATGAATTGTCAATGGCACAAAAAGAAGAGGGTAGGCATAGCCAAGCCGGATATCTGCTAACATTGTGTCCCACAGCAACTGAAGGCCACAAGCCTACGTCGACGAATTCCAGCCCATTTGGAAACCCTTTCTCAACAGCCCCATCACCATTCACTGGTGCATCCTCTGTTCAACAAGCCGGCTCGGCCTCGTCATCGTCATCAACAGCAACGCCGGCCCTGAATCCATTTGCCGCGAAGACAAGCCCTTTTAGCAAGCCAAACGCGGCAGCCGAGAGCGCGACGCCTATTAGCAACCCTTTCGGGTTGTTAAATCAACCAAATGGCACTTCCCAGCCCAAAGCTCCGAGTATCCCGGCATTCCCTTCTCCGGCCTTCGGCAGCGGCGCACAACCCAAAGCACAGGAGCAAGCGCAGCCAGCTACCTCGACAGATGGTTCTCCGGCCATCACCGTCACTCCGCCCACACCAAAGTTCCCATTGCCAACGTCAGCGACAGCCGCAGAGTCGTCAACGCCTTTCAAATTCCCATCAAATACTGGCGTGCAGTCCGCGACTCCGAACGCTCCTAGCAGCCCCTTCCAGCCAACTCCGAAATCATCTGCGACACCACAGCTACCCTCCTTCTCGGCAGGCGCGGCGGCTCCCGCTCAGCCGGGAAAGCCTTTTACAACATTTCAACCTCCACCGAATCAGCCTCCCAGCCTTGCTCCTACTACGGCAGCTCCATCCGTTCTCTCCGAGTCCGGGCAATCCCCATTACCTTCCTTCAACTTCCAAGGGGTTAGTTCGGAAGCCGTGGAGCCAGCGCCCTCGCCTCAGCAGAGCTTCCCTCCAGCTGTCGCCTCGCCCGTACCAACTGCAGCTTCACCACTCGCCCAGGCAAAACCTCCTCAAGCTCCGCCCGTGAAACAGCGGTCCAAGCAAGATGTCATGGCCGACTTCGCGAAATGGTTCGTCACAGGTGACAACGGGCTGATACAAGAGTTCGAGAAGTACATGGTTGAACAGCTCGTCTCGGCCGCTTTTGAACAGCATCACAAGGAGGAAGAGGAAAGGAAACGAAGGGAGGAGGAAGAGAGAGATCTGGCAGAGGCACGGAAGTTCCAAGTCTACAACCTTTCCGTCAAGTACTTCTATCGATGGAGGGAAATCGCCAGAAACCTTCGCCTCACCAAGCTTCGCAGACAAGAAAGGGAAGAGTACCGAAGGGCTCAGCGGGAACAACGGGAGGAAGAGATCAGACAGAGGAAGAAGGCGGCTAAAGTTGCCGAGGCGAAGAAAAAGGCCATGGAGAGGAACGGTTTCGACCCTGTGGAGGAATTCAGAGAGCTCCTTCAGCTCAGAAAAGACGGCACACAAACCGACTTGCAAGCCGAAGCAGAGGCTTTGCTAGCGACCGGCATTCTGTCAGGCGTCTCGGACGAACGGGTTGCAGCCGCCAATGTCATCCGGGCCCCAGCGACGATGGAAACACTTGCGACGAACACGCCTTTACCTCGATCTCGCTCGTCAACAGCCTTATCGCAGTCGACTACGGGTGCTAAGCCCCGCGGCGCGAAAACGCGGGCCATACGGGAAGAGTTTGGCAAGAGCGCTACCAATTTCCGACGATCACTGCCTCCCATGTCAGCACACTCCTCATCATCACGAATGTCTTCAGAGCCGCAGAAGCGTGTTAGCAAAGTGTCTGATCGCTGGCGTCTGAAGGCGATGGGCCTCGTCACGATGCCCGACGGAACAGCGCTACCGGAGACCATCGCAAACGAGATGCGGTACAATGGGAAACGATATGCAGGGCTCGGGTCATTCGGCTTGGACGGCACCGAGCGACGCCGGAGCGTCTCTGCGGATCTCAACCACGCAGCCGAGGCCCGATTACGCTTTTCGCAGTCGCTCAACGGTGGCAGTGGCAGTAGCAGTGGCAGCGCTGCCGCCGTGCCGCAGGTCAACGGGATCTCACCGCTTAGTAAGAGGAAACGGGCTCTCGATGACGACGACAACGAGATTGCTGTCGCGGACGAAGCCGTCACACGCGTCAAGAAGCGGCCATCGAGCAATGCGGAAATTGATAGAATACTTCGGGAGGCGAGGGAGAATCTGGAATCTTTGAGGAGTTCGAGGATCGAGCTTGACGAAGGGGCAGATTGGTTCAGGGAACAGAACGAGATGATGCACGCGGAGGAGGCGAGCAGGGCTAGCTCGCCGTGGGGGAAAGGCGGTCATCGGTGAAAGGGACGGGGGGACGGGGTTACGTACGATATGCATCAGCATTGGCGTTTTCAAGGGTTTAGTTTCTTGGGCGTGGAGTATGAAGGTCAACTCTTTTTTTTCTCCTATAAGTAGTTCTCGTCTTTGTAAAGGTACACAAAAAAACAACACGGGCTACGAATACCCATAGAAGAGACATGTTTGGATTGTTACGTTTTCGCATAGATGAGATGTGCATGCATGGCCACGAGTGATTTTATGAAGTGAAGTTGAGAGATGCATGTGTGGGATTGGTATTATTGTCTGGTATTGGGTATAATAACCCCGTGTGATCCAGTGCCCTCTTACTACGTCATCTTATAGATGTACTCCTAAACGCCACTCGCTACCGACCGTGACTTTAAACAAATGAAACCATAGGGGGGACCCCTTGGACAGCTTGAAAACACGACAACTATCTCTTCTTGTGCGGCGGCGGCGGCGGAAACGCCACCTGGATCTTATAGCTCTCCACGGGGCTGCCTCCCAACGAGGTAACCCTCTTCGGCAACGGCCGCGCCAGATCCCGCACGATGCCGGGGATGGTCTTGGACGCGTCCGATACCAACGGAGGCGGCGAGGACTCGGTGTGGATGTGCCGATTATGCGCAGGCGCGGGCGCGGGCCAACCGGCCTGGCTTAGCAAGGGGCTCGCCGTCGTTCCCGAGGTCGGGGAGGCGTAGGTGGTGGACGGGCTAAAGCTCGCCGCCGCGTTGCCCATTGACGGGGTCGAGAAGCCGTGCTCCGAGGGGACGTAGGGTCTGAAGGAGAGGAGGGGCGCGGCGGAGGTGGTTGACGTTGGGGTGGCGTACTCGTCTTGCGGGGAGGCCATGTTGTATTTTGGGGAGTGTGCTTTTACGGGGATGATGGGGAGGCTTGTGGTGATGTTTGCGAGGGCGAAGGGTTCCTTTTGCGAGGGCTTCTTGTCGGTGTAGGGGATGTGGTCTGCGGCTGTGAAAGAGGTGATGGAGTTGTGTGGCATCCAGAGACTGGGTTTTGATACGGGACTAGGGGCCATGCCTTGCTGTTGTTGCTGATGCATGGTCTCGTAGTAATGCTTTTCGTTTTGCGCCTCTTCCTCCTCGACGGAGAAGAAGTTTGGTTCCTTTGGTGTGAGATGCGTCTGGCAGCGGAAGGAGAGAGATGAGGCTGGGCGGTGGCCCTTTGCGCGGCGTGAGAGCTCTGGGTTGATGCCGCGGCCTTGTCTACGTGCCCTGCGCTTACGGCACTGGATGAAGGTGCAGCCGGCAGCTAGGAGGAGTGCCACGATGGCTCCTATTACGATGCCCACAATGGCCGTCATTGGCAGGGTGGGAGTTTGAGCTTTGTCGGCATCTGCTGCATCCTTTGGGTCGACGACGGTGATGATGCCCTTTGTGAAGACGGTGTCGTTGAGGCCGACTAGTGTGCCTGGGCTTGGTCTTTGCTGGCAGCCTGCTCCAAGGGCAACGAGATCTATGCAGTATGTTAGTGATATGCCTGCGGGGATGATGTTGACCAAGATGTTACATACAGTTTGAGAGATAGTAGTGTTCACCACCTGCTCTTACACACGACAGGCACTTGTCGTAAGCTGAACCTAGCATGGCACCGCCATCCGCATCGCAATATGCGTACTGCGATGATTTTGTTGGGTCCAATTCGCCGTCTGTGAGAGCAGCCTCTAACGCGCCACACGCCGTAGACGTCTGGCAGGGGTTGGAGCCTACGCCGGTGGCATTGGGGTACCCAAAGATGCAGTAGTCGAAAGAGTACCTCATGTTGTCTGTTGGTGTTGGTCAGCACCTCTGGCTCTCTCAAGTGTGATTGCTGTAAGACTTACACAAAAACCAGTCTTGGTCGTTCTCACTGCCCTGAACAAAGGTGCTGTCCTGAAGACAGCTCAAACACTGCTGGTATTTCTGTCCGGCGGCCCCTGTCTTGTAATCCTCGTCCACACAAGTAATGTCCTTGCCCTTGGTGTTGGACGAGTTGGGGTCCGAGGCATCGAGGCTGTTGGAGTCCAGACAGAAGGATGCACATGGCGAATTGGGCGTAACTTGGAGTGCTGATACACAGGCCGGTACGATTGTGGTGAGGAGAAGGAGGGCGGATCGAGCGGCCATTGTGAGCTGCGGCCGGGTTGACAGGGATTAAGGAGTGTAGTCGAAGTAGAGCAGAGCAAAGACTCCAGAGCCTTGCAAACTGTAATTAGGTTAAAGATAGTAGAATAGAGGAGTTGATATCTCGAGAGATGGGTATTAGATATCGCCCAAACAAGCCAAGAACACAAACGAAACAATTGCACACACAAACAGACGGAATAAGCTCAGCGAGACAGAAACTGCTTCTAAAGTCAAGGTGGGAGAGCAAGGTGATATATCTCGCAGAAGACGCCGATCCCATCTCCACCATTCACTCGAGCAGGGGGCGGGGGGGCCATCTGCAGCTGCAGGAACAGGATGGTCTGGAATGGTAAGGTGATGGTCTGGAGTCACCTGCAGCTCGCAGGGCTCATAAGAAAGGATCCCGAATGTTTGGGGAAAGATACACAGTAAGAGATACGGCGTAGCAAGCATTTGGCAAACGCAGCCAGATAGGGTAGAGAGCGGCGTCCCAAGCCGGAGACGGGCCCGTCGTCCTGCCGCCCATCTGCTCGACCACAGTTCGAGATGGGTGTCGGCGTCGGCAGAGGGTGTGGTGATGTCGGATTGAGGCGGCCAATAATAGGCCTGCACAGGTTCCCGAGAATTACGGTTATAAAGTGATGGAGGGGGAGGGGAGTTAGGTGGGCACTCAGGACTCGAGCAATCGTACAGAACTGGGCTCCATAGACGCCGTTTGCCGACAACATGAGAGCATTGTCTTGCCGTTGGGAAAGCTCGTCAGGTGAACAGGCGATGGGGAAGACGGTAGAGCGCTAAAGACTTCCCAGCACTTGCAGGACGGTGTGCGGCACGACACCTCAGGGCGGCAGCTTGTTGGTCCGCCGCGATGTGTATTTGGTTAGCGGCCGCTGGACGATGCACATCTCTCCATCTGCCCCCAATATGGTGGTGCAAGCGATCGATAGTGTGGTTTTTCCCCTTGACGATTTTGCGCGTATGTGTGCCCGCGTGTGCCCGCGAGTGTGCTTGTGCCTGTGCCTGGCGTTGGTGGGATGCATGGTGCAATGTTAGTGATGATGGCGGGCGGCTGCGAGATGCACCCATGGCATGGACCATGGGAGTTGGGGGCAGGAATGGGAGGAATCTTTGTGCCAATGGGAACACGGCGTTTGGCGATGGATCTGGTTGGTCAGGTCTGTTCTGTTGGAGTATTGGCGTCTTACCACGAAAGTGTGAGTGACAGTCAGCGAAGCCCGGCGCTTACAACTGGCAGTGGCATTTGGTTTCCTGTCTTGCCTGCCACGCCTGTCTCCCACTGTTGGTTCCCTTTGGCTCCTTCCATCGGGGCATTTACATTCTCCACTAAAAGCCGTGAGCTCGGCCCAGTGGGTTCCACAGCGGGACCCAAGTGGACAAAGTGGGGTCCGGCCAAGGTATCGCGGTACTTGGCTTGTCGCTCGTTGGCGATCAGTTCTGGGTCTCGTCAATGCTCTTTCCCTTTTCTCTCGTTCTCTTCTCCATCACTTTACGGAGGAAGCATCTCTCCCTTTTCCATCCTTGGCCCCGTCAGCCTTCAGCCACAACACACACCACCCCGGTCGCTTTTCCAATCTCAATGCCTTTACGGAAACCATCCAAATCCCGGCCTGTCTATGTTGAGAGTTCCCTTTTTGGTTGACAACCCTTTTACCAGACGTCTGCTATTAGGGGGGTTGTTAGGCATGCTGCACCCAATTCCGCATGGGTTCCCCGCTGGCATGAGCTTCTTTTCCTCGGACTCCCTTTACACCCCTGGCAAAACTCTGTTGTCATGTCACCTTGTCTGACTGCTTGTCTTGTCTTACTGAGCCGAACTTTTTACCTCTGAAAGCTTGTCACTTTTGCATCACTGAGGTGTTCGAGTGTTCTTCTGAATACGGATTCATGGGAGTTCGTGATTCGTATATCTCACCAAAACTAGAAACTAAAAGGAAAACCCAATATCTTGTATTCTCGCCTTCGATTCCGATTCACCCGTCATCGTGCGACGTTGCTTCCGTCCATTCCGACTACCTGGGTGTGGTGTAACACCCTTTGTCTTGTTCTCTCTCTCATGCGTGTCTCTCTCTTCTCTCGTTTGTCTCATAAAACGGGTGTGTGTTCAAAGCTCCAGTCGCTATGTTGATGTGATCCAAACGCCCGCAGATGAGAAGAAACGCGCCCCAAAAACAAAAATCCAAACCCGGATTAGACTTCCGGCTGTGCATGCATTCTTGCACTCCCTCTCTTGCATCGCTGAAATATGTCCAAACGCTTTTTTCGTTGCCGGCTTTTGATCCCTGAACGAACCAGAACCGGCATGCATCAAATATGATTACTGTTGTCATTAATCGCCTCCCTCTCAGTCCCTCTCTTTCTCTTTCCATCTCTTTTGTTTCATGCCTTCTTAACTGATGATGACATCTCTGCCGGTAACCGAATAGCTCGTCTGATACATGCACCGCTGAGGCGAAGTCTCGGGACAGTTGCCGTGAAACAGCATCTGCCCGCCCCCAGCAACGCTCGTCGCGCCGCCGGGCGCCGTGAGGTTGAAGTCGCCCGTCTTAAGCAGCATCCTCGACGGCCGCTGATAGGGGCCCTTGATGTTCCTGCTCGTCGCGTAGTTGACGTTGTAATTGTTCGAGTTGAAGCAGAAGCTGCTGAAGAACAAAATATACAGCCCGTCCTCGGTGCGCACCAGGTCCGGCGCCTCCACCAGGGGTCCGTCGGCCGCCGTCCGGCTGAGGATCTGCACCGGGTCGCCGACTTTGCTGATGCCGTCCGCTTCTACCTCCTGGAGCATGATGGGCGTGTCCACGAGCGGCTCGACGCCGTTGTTGCAGTCGCCTCCGTTGCCGACGTTGTTGCCGTCCACCTTGTACACCACGTAGCGCTTCTTGGTCGGCTCATCGTAGTAACCGGCAGCGTCGATGGCACCACCCTGGTCGAACGGACACACCCACGGTTCTGACGTCGGCTTGTAAGGGCCCGTGACAATATCAGAAATGCCAACGCCGATGCAGTGCCGGCCGCCGCCGTCCTTGACTTCGCCAGAGTAGTACATGATGAAGCTGCCGTTGTCCAGCCGCCGCACGTCAGGCGCCCAGGTGTTGGACCCCGTGGCCCAGCCGACGTTGGGGAGGGCGTCGTTGTCGAGGAGCTCCCACGAGCCGGAGATCTGCGTGGCTTTCGCGACCTGGATGTTCTTGCCGTTGCCGTTGGTCGCGAAGGAGTACCAGAGCCCGTCGTCACCCTGGACGAGGGCCGGGTCTGGGAAGTCGGTGTTGATCTTGGGCGTGAGGACCTTGTCGTCTCGGCCGACGACGTAGAGGGCGTCTACTGGTGCGCCAAGAACGGGTTGGAAAGCTCCTAGACTGAAGATACCTGCTGCGAGGAGGGCATATTGCCGTAGTGATGTTGTTGAAAGCATTGTAAATGTGTATCTCTCTGTCTCTCGCTCTGGGGTATAATAGATATTGACAATTATGTATAAGAGGGGGGTATGATATAAACAAGGCACACAACGGCGCAAAACAGATGTCGAACTAGACCAAAGACTTCACGTCCAAGAATAGGATAGTCTTTTCCCTGGGCTGATGATGAGAAGGGGTCTTTCTGTGTGTGGTAGGTAGGGTTTCTGGGTTGTTTGTACTCGTTGAAGAACGAAATTGGAACAGGTCTATTAGAATCCAATTACTGAGTACACATTACTTGTTCATAAGCAAAGTGCTGCCGTCATGAGTGTCATAGCGAACTTCGAGAAGGAAAACGGTTTCGAGGATCGTGCGGACGAAGGGCCCTTCTTGTAGTCAAACAAAACAAGAGCACATACTCATACAAGCTACAGCTACAACAGCTTACACCCCGAAGAAGAGACTGACAAGTTTGATGCGTGCGCGAGTGTGTGTGGGTATAGGTGTGTAAGAGGACGAACCCGCCCCCTTCCCCTTGGCCGGAAACATGTACCATTGGGAAATCTTTTTCCTTGCTCTAAGCTTGCGCCCAGCTCTCAGCTATGCAGGAATGAGATTATCACTGCAAATGCGTGTGGAGAGAGAGATCGTTGAGGGAAGCTCCAGCAAGTAGCGGAAGGAGGATACCTCTCACGGATTGTGGTGGGCTCTGTTCCATGGCACGTCAAAGCAGATGATGCTTGAAACAGGTGGGCCGGGGGGGTGTGTGTCGTCAAAGTGCGTGGCAGCTTTTCACACTTACGCCCTTCTCTCGCTCCTTGACCGGATACCCGAAGCTAGAACTTCTCTCCCGGCATTAAGATCCCTTCTTCCTATTTTCCCTGCTTGGAAGATCAATTTTTACACTCTTAGGGCTCGGCGCGCGTCAGATGGGCTCCGTCGGGGTGGTCAGATAGCATCCTGTTAGGCTTCCTCCCCACGATAATCCAATAGTGCTCACCTTTTTTGTACATCAATTCTCCTAGTCCACCCTAAGGTAGAAAATTTGCCCAGATCGGAGAAAAAAAGGATTTGCATAGCATGCATAGGATTCCGGCACCCGTCTTCCGCCCCATTCCTTTAGACCGCAGCCACATAAGAGACTGTACCCTTGGTATAGAGTTAATCCTTGTTGTTCCCGACTCCCGCGTCGTCATGGGCAGGAAAGGAGGCTCTTGGGGGGGACTTGGGTTGGGTTCAGATCGTGGTGCCACACGGGATGTACTTTGGTTGACCGGGATGACGGTAGTGGCTCTCTCCCAAGTCGACGGACGGTAACCGGGGGTTGAGGGATGGGTAAGTTCTGTAGGTCCACGGGGAGATCTTCCACTGGCGGTGTCGGCGCCCCGCTGATCGGGCATGGGCGAAGCAGGGCGTGAGGGATGAGGCGCAACAGGAACCGGCAATCATTGATCCTGGAGACCGGGGGGCACGGGGGCTGTGAAGGGGGGGAAATGATTTGCATCCATACTTGGTCCCTATACACGTGCCTAGAAGACTTCAAGACGTCGAGGAAACGACGAAAAAAGAGAGGACAAGACACAAAAAAAGGCGGGGGTGACGTGCTGCCACGAGTGCCATCTCAGGGGAGCATTGAGAGGGGATCCGCACCTCCAGTAATTATACCCGGTCACGGTATTCTTGGTTGCATTATACCCAATTCTACGAGGCATCAAGGAGGGTCAGTGGCAGTTGCTGCTGTTTCCTTGGTTGGCCAAGGCATGTGGTCTGAGACATGCTTGGTGACAATGCTTCCTTGTATTTTTTCCCTTCCCCTTCATGGTTGATAGGCAGATAGTGTGATAGGGTAGGGAACCCGTCTTCGGACGAAGGACGGAACACGTATATTGGCGCTGTTTATGACTGAGATTCCCAAACAAAACTCGTTCGGACGAGATCCACGTTGGTCCGGGACCCGAACTGTGCTGCAGTCTGAAATCCCGCTGGGATGCTGCCGGGAGTACGTAAGTCCCTACCCAGCGTTTTGCGTGTGCCTTTGTTTCAACACCCTCTGCTCAACAACTCCTGATATGTTTGCGATAACGTCGAGACAGTGACAGCCTCTGGTTAAAACGTGAACTGATGCGACAGTAGTAGTCGTCACTTTTGCTTTCCGTATAGGACCTATCTACTCCTATCCAGCCAGTACGCACTATGTTCAGAGACAGAAAAATTCAGAGCCAAACGCCACTTGCCAAAGCCATTTTTTTATGATACAACAGCCAACCACCGACCATTGCCAACAAACACATGGTATCTTAGCCAATCGAGGTGAGGAAACTCGCAGGAGCTTACTCGCTGTCGTCATCGTCGTCAGCACCACCCTTGGCTGCCTTCTTCGCGGCCTTGGCCGCCTTCTTCTCAGCCTTCCGACGCTTGCGCTCCGCCTTCTCGTCGGGTGTCTCGCCCTCGTGCTTCTTGCGTTTCTTGGACTCGCCATCATCCTCGGCATTGGCAGGGGTGACTGCGGCGGGAGTAGCTGTCGTAGACTCCACCGCCTTTTGGGGAGTGGCCGGAGCCGCCGCTGCAGGAGCAGCCTCACCAGCAGGAGCTCCGAAGTCCTTGTACTCCGACACCCACTTGGCGGGAGTGGCCTCGTTGGGGCGGCCGTACTTGTCGAGCTTGCCGTCGGCCTTCATCTTCTTCTTCTCGGAGGCGAGGGGACCAAGACCCCATCTTCTGGGGTACAAGTCGCGCTCCATGATGCATCTCTTGACCTTGGCAACAACGCCGTGATCTGTTTTCCATTAGTCAAAAGAGTCATAAGGTTGCAATGGGAAGAGAGGAATCTTACCGCATGTCGACATCTCGACGGTGGACATCTGAGCAATGCCGAGGGCGATGGCCTCACCCTTGGTGGTCATGAGAACGACCTCATCGTGAACCTCAATTTCGGACTCTAGAAAAGCGGATCAGCATGTCAATCATATGTGACATCGTGGGGTTGACAACTCACCGTATCTCAGAAGACCGGGAAGCATAAGCTTAGCACCGTAGCAGACAGCGTTGACCTGTGAGGTACGTCAATATCAGACGCAACGGCGATTCATGTGTTTAACGCGACTGAGACATTGTCCGCAAAGTCGCATCGGGCCGTGAGGGGTTTGGAGAGAGGGGTTGCAATGGATTACTTACAGCGCTGTCCTTGACCACGACACGCTTGTAGCCAGTGAGAAGAGTCTCCAGGGGAGAGATGACCTTGCGCAGGTAAGACTCATCCCTGGTGTTATCCATGGTCCACTGAGCATCAAGCACGTCGTGCAGAGTAACCATCTCCTTGCTCTCGCCCATGGCACCAGAGCGCACTCTTCGGAGCTCCTGCATGTGGCCACCAACACCGAGCAACAGACCCTAATCCATGTAAGCAATCAGAGCAAGGCTGAATTAACGACAATCAATGTGACGTACGAGATGGACGCAGAGGGTACGGATGTAGGTTCCAGCTTCGCAAGAAACCCAGAAGACACCGAGGTGGCGATCCTGTGATTGAGACACGGTCAGCAGTCGTTTCCCAATGTTGTAGCAGATCGACGTACGTTGTCGAACTCGATGAGCTTGCTCTCGTGAATGGTACGGATACGCAGCTGACGCTTAACGGCAGAGATCAAAGGAGGGCGCTGGAAGAGGGCACCAGTCAAAGCTGCATCGCGAGTCAGAATACTTTCGGCAGTTGCAACGGGGTTTCTTGAATCAACTCACTCTCGAGAGCGCGGGCGAACTGGACCTTGCCGCCGGGCAGCTTGTCGTGAAGGCGGATGACGGCAACATACTCCTTACCAGCAGACTGCTGGGACTTGACGAGTCTGGTGGCACGGTCGACGCTGGAAAATTTCGTCAGTTGCAATTCTCTTTCAAGGAATGCTCCATCGCATTTTGGTGGGTTGCTGCTCACCAAACAATCAAGCAACCTGAGAAAGTTAGCAAAACAAGTTCGAGACAGTTATGTGGGAACGCGACTCACCAGTGACCTTGGGATCAAGGGTACCGCTGTGACCGGTCTTCTCAACGCTGCACAACAGAAGAACATGGTTAGCGATATTTTCTCGACAAAACTCAGAATGTTCTGAATGATAAGCGAATGCCCCTCAAAATCGTTCGATCGTGTGTGTTCTCGGTTGACAGACGGCAACGGCAGTATCCGCAGTCCCAAGACGTCGCAGTCTTATGGTGGTCCGGGCAAACAAGTTCCGACGATTGCTTCGCGAGGCATGCCTTCCCATGGCAATACGCATCTTTCCCAACATGACATGCTAGTCTTTGTTGCCATATTTCCGTGTAGGCCATGACCATCGAGTCGCAATGTCGTTGGAAGTTTTCCCCCGGGAAGTCCCCGACCGCATCGTGTGGAGCCATCTGCAAAATGCGTCTTGTCGACGTCGGAACTCGCTAACCAAGTGCCACCATTCATGTCGAATTTTGATGCTGGTCATTGCCGCAGGGAGATTCGTCTTCGATGTCGGGAGCTAATTGTACGATCGGGCGCGGGGCATTGCATTCACGAACACAACAACGAAGGGGTGGGAATTGCATACCGAAGGATACGCTTGACCCAAGCGACAACCTCGTGGGAACTGGGCTATACGATAGTTAGTATGCTTGGCTAGACATATGGAGTATCGCGACTACGGAAACATACGTTGGAGGGCTTGTCAAGGTTGATGACACCGGAAGAGATGTAGGACTTGATGTCTCTCTTCAGAGGGCTGCATCCTGCCGGAATGGGGGTGAAGTGACCCGTCCGGACGAGAACTGCAAGAAGCCTGGTCAGTCATTTGCTTGTGATGCTGTTGACGAGCGGTCGCTCCATATCCAAGAAGAGGGAGAAAACTTGCGCTTGTCGTAGTTCTTGAGCAACAGAGGCCAGCTGCTCGTGTCCAGGTGAGGGACAGAGGCCTGGGGCTTGATGGCGAACTCCTCCTCCTCGCCGTGCTTGACAATTTCCATGGCCATTATTTCCGAATTGAACCGAAACCGACAAAGGCGTGTCAGGTGCAATGGGTGTCTGACGTTGGCTCGTGAACGTCGGAATGGAAGGTCTCGTGGTGTTGGAGGACTTGAAGCTTCCCAATCCAAATTTTTTTCTCTGGCTGTGGGGTGGAAGCTGCCAAAAAAATCCGTCTGTATCCACATTGTGGCGCGGTGTTGCCATTGAGCAAACACGATTGGCCACGCTCTAACGCCTAGCCACACAGCGGACGCGCCTTGCACCGTTCCGCCTTCCTCAGCCAGGGACCAGCCGTCTTGCAAAGAAAACTTGGAAGGAAAGAACAACCAAAGAAAGTGGCTTGTTATCGTTATCAACGATACCTCCACAAGGGAAATGGGACGAATGACGACAGGCTCAGGTTCGGATCACAATTACTCACACCCACCACTCGTATCATTCAAACATCCATCATCACAGTGGATTTCTGGTATTATCTCAGATGCATTACCAGTACACCGGCCTAGGCCTATTCTGCTATCAAGCCTTCAAAGCTGATGCCAATCAATCGGTATCGCCGACTCCTAACTCCCGCTAAGGTAAAACAAACAAATACTGGATGCAGAAGGAGCGACACGTTCCATCCCACGATACCTTCAGTACCATTTACATTGCGCATCAGAGGGCATATCCTCTCCGCAAATCCTCCTCTGTCAGACCGTGGTAGGCCGCCGGGTTGTGTTCAGCATACACCGTGTGCGCCGGCTGCTGGACATTGGGTGGGCTTGGGTACCTCTGTCGGGCGTCCCACTCAGGCTCAACATCTCTCATCTCGTACGACTCGGATCGCTCTTTTCCTTTCGAGTCATTCCACCTCTGCTCTTGATTATCTCCTCCGAACGCGAGACCAATTTCTTGGGGTTGTCTTTGGGGGTTCGCGTCGTTTACCGGCCATTGCATGGCAGGTGCCTCGGCACCGCTCACTGGGCTGTTGTACTGAGAAGAGTATGGAGAGAAGTATCTCGTGTACGGTTGTTCCCCATTGGCACTCATTGGTGAGTCGTCCCATCCACGAGAAGGCCCTTGGCTCTGCGGCGAGGCGTCCCAGGTTCGCAAGGGCTTCTGGCTGAGGGGAGTACCGCCGATGCCACTGGTATTCAGCGGCGTTGGCCATCCGGTCCGACCACCGCCACCCTGCTGTTTCATTTCGAGTGTTTTCAAGAATGCTCTTCGTCTCCTCTTCCCGTTCCACACGATGCAGAAACCGGCAACCACAAGAAGGAGAACAACGCCTCCAATCGCAATGCCGACCTTGCCGCCGAGACTGATGGGACCGCTGTTGTAGTCCGAGACGTACGTGTTCGTCGGCGTTGGCTCCGTGATGTTGACCCGAGTTTTTGAGAATGGAGACCCGTCAACAGAAATTGTAGTGCCGGGCACGGGTTTTTGCTGGCAGCCCGCGTCAAGGATGGTAAGAACTAGGAGCTTGTCAGTCAACTGCTGACACTAGGGTCGTTGCGATACACACAGTTGTTGATGAAGTTATTGTTTCCTGCACGGAGACACGACGAACAGCTGGCGACCTGGTTATGATCCCAGACATCGCAGTACTCAAACTCGGTGACGTTGGAAGCCAGATCACTGTATGTGATTGCCTTTTGTAGTGGCTCGCACGCAGTCCTATTCGACGGTTACTAGATATCACAGCTTACGGAGTCACTGCTAGACATACCTTGTGAGACACGGGCTTGATCCGACATTTGGGTTGTCTGGATATCCAAAAGTACAGTACGAAATGGCGTATCGCAAATTATCTACACCAACGACGTCAGCTTCCTCTCCGGCCTGGAGCCCAGATAATGCACATACACAACGCCCATTGCGTGTCTGTCTCGTTGGTGCTGGTCGTAAAGTCACTGGTCAACTCGCAAGACACGCATTGCTGGTATACAGAACCGGCGCTGCTGGAGTACGAGTGCTCGTCGCATACAACGTCGTTCTTGGTCGTCGCATCGAGTACGTTGCCGCATAGTGTCTGGCAAGGTGAACCAGTCGCCACGTGGATAGCCGATACCCGGCTGAGGGCAAGGCCTAGCACAAGGGCACCCGTCGTGGGACGCATTTTGGAAAGAAAAAGCGAGGGTGGTTATGATACTGGAGTTCGCCGGTGGGACCGAAGTATCGCTAACGGGGCAGGCTGCCGCAACGCACGAAAGAGCTTTGCTCGGAAGTCAATCGCTGAGGGCGAAGATGCCTGTCTTACATGCCTGCGGGGGCGACGGGTACGATTGATACTTTGCGAGGGCGCTTATATATGGCGATAATGCGGTTGTCGGGAGCGTTTCTACGATGGCGCTCACGATGTGACGAGACGTGCTGCTTCAAGATCGTGAACTATGCGAAACGGCGCCTCATATGTGTTTCGATGTTTGCAAGAGAGAAGACGGAGGCAACTGTGATTGTGATGAGAGGTGGCAGGTCAGCGCGAGGGACCCCCCCCATCGTTTCCGTTGGAGCACACTGCATCTAGATCTGCACCTAGTTGGTTGAAGCCTGTTGGTGCAAAGTGTGATTGGGGTCCGAATTAAGAGCACGTATCTGGAGTGGCACCCGTGGCACAGCAATGGAGAGCGCTGCCGAGCCAGACCTTGCACGGAATAACGAAGGCCTTCTCACTCGTCTTGGTCTAGTCTATCCGTACAATACAGTTCCTCGCCGACGGCCCGCCCGCACGAAGGTTGATGGGAGGTCTTGGGAGGGGAAGAGCTTGATTGTGCTGGCCACCTGGGCATTCGGGGGCTGGTCAACTGCATCGCTCTCACCTGCTCACACCGCTGGCCCCGGCCGGCGAGGGTGGGGACTCGGGGACGGATCTCTTCGACGTCGCTGGTTCTCTTTAGCGCCGTGGTGGAAAGTGGCGTGCAGAAGACCTGTGAATACCCAGCCACTAAGCATGCGGGCAACACCCAATGCTACTGTGCTAAGCTGCAAGAACCCCTGTCCTATTTCACATCTCAACAACCACTTCGGGTACGAACTTGCTGTTCACACAGCTCATTGGATGATGCCGTCGAAATGTTTGCTGCCACCTGAGGCCCGTTGGACGGCCTAGCGCCCTGAGAAGAGGAGTAGGCATGGTGTTCCTGGGTTTCTCCCCTGCTAGATTGCCAATACTTGGGAGACAAGCACGCACTCGGGGCCAACAGCCTTCAAGATGGTCCCTTCTTAGGCATCATGAACAGTGCAAGAGTGGGATGAACATGTTGGACCAACAATGACCCTTAACCGTGCGGTAAGTCGACTCATCTTTACCCTCTGCGGCGGCATCGCGTGGCGGCTATCACCGCGGGCGTGCCAGATAAAGAGCTCTGAAGCTGAGGTAAGATGGTGATGTAAGTCTCGCTTACGACGCGGCAATCTATCGCCCGGTGAAGTCTGCGGGTCCAAAGCTTAAGTTGAGAATGAACAAAAGACCATCGGCCATTGAACAACAAAATGGAGCATGGGCGGTGCTCATTCATATCTCACGACTTACACGTGCTTTGTCGGGCATTTAGAACTGATTTCATGGAAACTCGTAGCATATTTAACGTAAATACAATCGCGAGCATGACATTGATGGAAATGAGACCCAATATCCGGTGGCGTAACCTTCCAGCACGTCCTTCCACTACCTTTACCTAATACGCCTTATTTTGCTGTCCGTTCATTCATTACCGTTCTTGGTATCTGACTGCCTCTCTGTCGGCAGAATTCTTGAAGAAATAAAAAGCTTTCCAAACTCCTTGCTAAACTCGGCGGACAAAAGAAAAGAATAATACGTGAAAGGCTGTCATGTCTGAGTTATGTGTCCTTGAGACTTGTACATCTATGCAACTACGCCATTTGCACCGCTGGAAATCGGAACTGGAACAACGTCTCTATCCATGCATCTTAGATCAATCAGATCGTCAGTCGCGTCTAATCCGAGAGAATCAGTCGAGTCATTGGCAGACCGAACAAAAACCATCGCCGTGGGAGTTTTGGGCTCAAACATGGGCGTAGACGGAGATCGGCTGGTGGTCGAAACGGTCTCGACGGTCTCGCTGAGAGAGAGGGCGTCACTTGACTTAGTGGCATTGGTGGATGAGAATTCAAGGCCTTCAAGATCTTGCTGTGTGTTTGCGTTCAAGATTGCCGTCTTTTTCGACACCTCAATGGCCGACGCTGCAGGTAGCGACATCGAGCGCCCGGAGCCCAAGTCAGGAGAGTCTCGGTGTCCAACCATCTTTGCGCTGCCGACTTCCTGGGCGCTCCCAATTGATTGCCGTCCATGAACCGGACAATTTGGGCAGAGGATCTCCTCGACAATCTCAAAATCTGCCAAAGGGTCCTTTGAAGCTTGTAACACATCAGGCCCGGTGGACGCCCTCCTCTTGTGCCCATGAATCTGACTGTCGACTGTCGGGGGCTCACGAGAACGGCTGTGCTCGCGCGGCGACATCTTTGGTGGTGAGAATTTGGCGCCAGGCTGACGGCCTCTGCTAGCCGTGCGAGAGGCAGAGTGAAGTTTGGCGCGGTCATCACTAATGGGGGTTCTGGACCTATTGCGCACCCCTCTCACGACGACCTTGTCGGTATCTGCCGCCGATCCAGCACGAGGACGGTAGCCCATGCGAGACATTGGCCGTTGAGTTTGGTTCTGGTTGGTGTCTGGCTGGAAAGCGGAGGACGGGCGGCGGGGGAACTCATCGCTCAGGATGCTCGGACTGGCTGCGATCAAGATGGAAGATAGTCGGTCAGTCGGGCGGCTTCGACTGCAGTTGCGAGATTTCGGGGAGGACGGTCGATCAGGAACTGGAGTGTCCGATTTCTCGATAGCACGGCTGCGATTCGCCGACTCGGCTCTCTGCGCGACGGACTCCAGGTGCTGGGAAATCACAGCAGCTTGCTCGCGACGTGCAACAGCTGACTCAGACCGATCTCGCACTCGCGAACGACTCGCATGCCGAGTCTTGGTAGATGAAGGCCGAGGAGGCATGGCTTGCTGTGATGAAGCCCCTTTCGAGCCATCTGGCTTGGACTTGCTTTCGTCTTCAGGGCGGCTTTTGCTGGGACTGCGGGACTTGGGCGTCACGGGTCGGGCTTGCCTCTGCTCCTGGGCTTTGACGGGCTTCTCCTTGGTGGCCGCAACAGCTGTCACAGAAGTGCGGACGGTATTCGAGCTTTGCGACCGCGGTATCAGGTCAGGCTGAGAGAACGATGGAAACTGGTGATGCTGTTGGTTGCTGTACCTCTCTGCCGGTGAATCAGATGCAGCCGACATCCGCCCTCGAGTCTCCATGGGCGTTTTCAGGAGGTTATCTGACGGGCGCCAAAAGTACCGAGGCGACAGTGGTTCCTGGTCATCAAGTGGTGTGATCGGGCTGAACGGCATCTGCGCAATGGAAACATGGCCGCCATAGATCTTCATCTCCGACATTCTAGTGGGATAGCCGCTAAGAGGATGAGCACTATCCGGGTACGGTGTGCTATCAGCGGGTGCCCGCCCGTTCGAGGTTACGGACTGATTAGACAATACTGAGTGAAAGGACTGAGTCGACTGGCTGCTGAGAGGTACGGGGCTGGCTTGCCATGCTTCAAGAGGCGGAGACTGCGGTATTTGGATTCTCGGACGAATCGCTAACGGCGTGGGGCTCGGAGCTGTTGGTGTCGGAAGTTCGATGCCATCAAAGCCTGGAGACCTCGCGGCCGAATTGCGGGTTTCAACTACTAGGCCGTTGGTCTTGATCTTGGGCAAAGACTTAGATGCCTTGGAGGTTGGCGACTTCTTGGATGATGTGACCGAAGAAGCCTGCTTGCTTGGGGCACTTTTCGGCTGAGTCGGTGTGTGTGTTGAGAAGCCTTGCTTGGTTCCGTTGGACTGAGAAGGTTTGGCAGTACCAGATCCAGAGCCGGAGGAGCTGGGAGCGGCCGAGGAAGGGGACGTCTCCTGCAATTCGGAGTGAACTGCAGATGGTCTATCGGGTTCCGGGCGGTAGACCAGCTTCGCATACGGAGGGTTGTTGGTGTCGACCACGAGGAGTTCCTTTTCACCTCTTCCAAGCAGGCCGTAAATTTTAACCTCCCCAGCTTGAATACCTACGACAGCACTGGTGCCAGCATACACCGCATCGTCTTCGATACCAGTTCGATTGCAGAAAACAACAATGATCTCCTCGTCGGTCTCAGCACGGATGATCGGTTCCAAACGAGTGACCCAATACGTGAGAGTGTCCATGTCAGGCTCGTTGGGCATGCGGCTGAACATGCGGCCGTCCTCGCGTGTCATCCACGCCATAGAGACAATTACAAGATTCGACTCATATTCAAGAACATGGAATGCGAATTCAAACGCATGCCAGGGAGCCTGGAACTTGTAGGGGCTTTGCAAAGTCAGTTTAAGTCAATCCATCCATCATTTCGGAAGCAACTCACTTTAAATCCATGCCTAAAGAAACACAGTTAGCTTTTTACTTCTTCTGTGGCTCTAGCAAGTTGTTCAGACTCACAAATGCCAATCGATGCATGGCCAAGGCCCGGAATGAACCCCTCATAGAACCCCTGGTTTCCCTCAAGCGCCCATGTCTCATCTGTGTAGTAGAGGAAGCTTTTCCTGTAGTTGGCTATTGTTTCGCCATCTTCGTTGACTACGATAGCCGAGTTGTAGTACTCGGGACCAGTGGGCCACTGATTGGAAACATCGACTTTCTCCGGGTAGCCAACAACTACGTTGCAATTGTACTTGAGAGCGGTCGTGCGAGCCCAAAGGGAGGTGATTCCGGAGCCTGAGGGCTCGAGAAACGGCGAAATATGCTGGAGGGACTTGAAATTGTACCCTGATCTGCGTCATTACAAAGAATTCGATCTGTAAACGTCGAGGAGGTAGTAGGCGTAACGCTCTCTGGAGGAAGCCCATTTGCGCTCAACCACGCGCCCATGCGCGCCAAACAAAGCCGATGTCCAACTTACCTGAGAAAGCCAGCTCGGGTAGCACTAGGAGATCGAGGTCGTCGGGATTTGCCTTGCTCAAGACAGAGTCGGCTCGGTTGAGGTTATTGTCGATGTCGCCCACCTGGGGAGCAAACTGAAGACAGCCTATCCTCATCTTCGTTCAGAACTAACGGAGGCGACGAAAGCACGGTGGCGGTCGAATTTCCCAACTCCAGAGTCCCTCGACCGATCGCACGTTTCGCCGCAGGTGGTAAAGAAGACGATAAACTTAACAACGAATACATCCAAGGAGACCAACAAGCCGACGATGTTTGAAAAAAAGATGATAAGAGAGGAACCCGGAACAACGGTGTCGGAGTGCTAGCCGCAAGCTAATCTGGTAAAACTGGTGGGCTACACAATGATATTTGGGTAAGAGAGAGCGGGGGGACAGGCTCGGATGGGATACTCTGCGAGTGACCACGGGGTAACGCTCAGTAACGTCCAGTGAGAGGCTCTAGCACAAATTCCTGCCACCCAAAAAGACTATTAACCCAGCCTATTGTGGACGTATGTTGGTGATGATGGGAAGCAACCAACAGGAATGCGACGTTTGCCGCTCTCCAGGTGCAGGGGTTGCGATGGTGCGCTCTGCAGCCATTCGTCACTTTCCCACCGCTCAAGACCACGGACCATCCACTGTTCAATTTCCATCCCCCGCCTCAGGCGAGGATGATTATGTACAATACGGACATGTGTTGTGGGAATGCGCCCGCGCAGCCCGCGCAGTAGAGACTAGGATTAACTATCCCGTCACTCGTTGTAAGCCTCTTGATTCGCTTCGAAGTTCTTGGAGAGACAGTGTGCCATGGAGCCCTACGCCTGGCGGGCCTGGGTACCAACTCCGGTTTCCCGCAGACGTACATGCTCAAAGTCCACACTGACTTTGTCCAACTTGACCACGTTGGGTTCGTGTTGGACAAACGAACAGTTGGGCCAACAGGAGTTGCAGTATCTCCTGTGGTAATCTCGCAGCCTATCATAGTCTGCGAGTCAACGGCAAGGCAGAGCAGGATCCGAAGCCCCATGCCCTTACCATCACGGGCAACGGCAGTCAGCTTCGCCCACGATGCCAGCCCCTTTCCCCATTTCCTCGCCAACATCGTGAGGCTGCCCCTGGCGAACAGGCTGACGAGAATGTGATGGAGAACAAAGATAGATCTGAACATGTACACTAGCTGTTCTTCAGTCCATCGAAAATATTGGTGATTTAGGAGGCATCGCAGACTCTTCTCATGCTGTTGTTTTCTCCCCCTCGTAGGCAACCAACGCCCCCTTTCACTTGCAGGATGGAGTGTTCAAATGATCACGATGATCACCTCCTTGGTGTCGTCTGCTTCTTTGCCAAAGCTGCACAGTGACAAGAACACTATGTCGGTTGCGCACTCGCGCCGCCCGCTCGTCGTCTTTACTGGACGACGCCCAACTGGTGTGGCCGTTGGAACTTGGGAGTCTGTCTTGGGCGATGATCAGGTTCCGGCCTAGCGCGTCAAGGATGCGTAGCAGCACCTGAGAAGACCAACAGCAGCATGCATGTCACTCTACGAGTCTAGGGAGGATCCGGGTCGGTGAAGTCTAACACTTCTCCACAGTCTCAGGAACAGTTGGCTCCAAGGCTCTTCCGGCAGGACGGCTACTGTGGAGAGTCGACAACATCCCATTCGTCCACGAATCGACCGCTTCAGCTGCTTGGCCAGTCACGACATGAGGAGGACCCAAGCGCACAGGAATGCGTGGCGCGTAGCCGGCGCATAAGTCGCATCCTCGCAGGTTCACATCTTTCCAAGTGCCGCTGGCGCGGCGTATCATCGCAACACACATGATCAGTTACCCGCGTGGGAAACGGCATCAAACTGGTGTTGGTATTGCCCGGCGCTTGGCTGTTAGTTGGGGAAAATTGCAGAAACCTGGCTACCCTCGCCTCTGACGTATGTATATGTTGAGATGATTGCCAATATTGAACCAGTCCTAGGATCAGACCGATATCGCTTTCTACACTCTGTGCGGAAGAGTCAACGTTTTGAAATATGCGGAAGTATGCGACAGGCCGTTACATGAGTAAGTTACTAAGGCGTCAGGTCAATTTCCTGATAAGTCCAGTGTCCTCGGGTTTACCACTTGGTTCTACTCCACAACCCTAGCACATTGGTTTTAGTCCGTATCACAGGCTATGGGATTTATAGCCGAGTATATACGCATATCATTCGTGGTTCCTTGGTCCAACTAAGTCTCCGTAAAACATGACCCTGAGTAAAAGTACAAGAGTCTCTTATCTTCCGAATAGAAAATGAAATTCATAAGAAATAGTCTCTGTTGTTTACATCTTCTTCCTTTGCGCTGTGACAATCAAGAAGCAAGACATTGAGTGGATGATGCCTCAAAATGGTGACGCGGGTCTGGGTCCATTGTCACCCAGAATGATGTTCTTGCTGACATCGTTGAATCCATAGAATGCTCTCCTGTCATGGTGTACACTGCAATCAATGTCAGCTTCATTGAGGTCAGAGAAGGAGAGCTCAAATCTTACTTCATCAAGGTCATGACAGCCTCGTCTGTGGTCTCGTTGTGACCCCAAGAAACCGTCCATCCACCGTAGCCACAGGCTGCGTCGGCGAAGCTCTTACCCAGGGGTACAGTTCCCTCAAAAAGGGCAATGATCAGGAGGCACTGTTCGGTCAAAGGACCGCTCTGAATGCCGAATCTCATAATAAGTGCATCGCTGTAAGGGATTCCTCGGTTGAATTCATCTTCGCAATATTGTTAATAAGATAAAAATCGGCCTGAGGCCAGCACAAACTCACATCTGATGAAATCCTTAATCTTCCAGCTGGGAGCGTATGCCATCTCACTCTCTTCCTGGCTGGCCACGACCTCTCGCTTGGCGGAGAACGGGTAATCAAAGACTTTAGACTGCTGCGGCGTCGCCGCCTCACCAGCCCACAGCTCGTCATCTCTGAAAGCGAAGAAAGATAGGAGCTTCCTCGGATCGTTGATGACCGTCAGCGTGATGAAGCCTTGCTCGTCCCAGCCGCCGTTGATAGTATACTCGGGTGCGCTCGGGCACTTGAGGGACGAGAAGTCGGTCTGGTACGCGGGGAGCCCCCCGGCGGCGTCAATGTCAAAGTTGCAGTACCTGGGCACCTTGGCCGCGTCTTCGGAGACGAGGAAAGTGTAGCTGCACCGGCTCTGGTCCGCTTCGCAAGTGCGTCGGAAGTTCAGGAGGGTCCAGTCTTCCGGGTTTGGGGGCTGGGCGGGCTCGACCGGGACCGCAATGGCCCGGAAGGCGAGGGTAGCGAGGACGACGATGGCTGACTTGATGCTCATTTTTATTTCTTCAACCTTTTGGACTGGATGCTATTTTGTAGGTATGCCGTGTGGTAAAAGATCTCTGGATCAAAGTGAAGAGATGCCTTCCTCTTTTATAGCTTCGATATTGAGGGAGTTTGGACTACCGTAAGCCAGAGTCACCTCATACCCATCAACGGCCATGAGGTCAAAGTGTCTGACGGGAGAATCCCAACTTGTTTCCCACCAGAAAAAGTTCTGACTGTGAAGCTTGACACTTTCCAATGTACGACACAAACGGTCGCTATCTGATAGTCTATACGATCCCGAAGCGGACAGAGGCACAAACATATCAAACTGGCCGAAGCAGCTCCGTCTTCCGAGCCTTAACGAGCCAGTCAGAGCAAACTCTATATAGCATCAAGCTGCCAAACATGGATCTCTCACCCTGACGGAAAGGGAGTCAATATGAAAATTGGGGTCTCGTGTCCCGGAAGAGCTTGAGATAAATTCCGTGCCATGGTCCCTTGGGCCCAGAACGGGTATTTGCTACGTGGAGATGTAATTTGAATCTACCAGAAGCAGTCTTGGCTCTCTGGCATCAGAAGAATCGTGTCGACTGTTTGGGATCTAGTGCAACACTCGATGATGCGCGTTGATGAAAGCCGATTTCATACACTCCATGAGTACAAAGGGGCGTTGGGTGATGCCCAAGAAACATGGCGACAGAAGCACAGGAATATCATGCCAAATTGTACCTTTTGTGTGAAGCAAATTTGTGAGAGCCAGACAAGTCGGGCGGCTGTGAACCAGGTTTGTGGTCGCACTGATTTGGCGACAAGGTTGTGTCTTGGGACCAAAGCTGACCCTAAACAATCATGCAAGGACCCGATGAGAGTAACACCGCACCCAGTCACGCGAAGCTGAAGCTTTTCCTGAAATCGTATTCAGAATTAAGCCCGGCTCCCCCTTCAGAGGAGAGTATCTGTTATGACTTTCCATTTGTTGCTAGGAGGAGGGAATTCACACTTGGGTCGATAGACGCGACTCCAGGAGGTCTTTGATGAGTGAGAAGCGATAATCAGTGAGGATTCTCACTGTGTGTCAAGAGGGTGGAAGAAGGTAGAAGCTGTACCCTATCTGGGACCTCATTCTTTTCTCCATCATGAGCATTGTGGACGACGGTCAATGAAGAGACATAAGATATGTCGACATGGATGTAGAAAGTTGGTTGCATCTGTAAGTGAGTTCGTCATGAGACAAATGAAAACGAGCAGGGAGTCGGCGTCTCTTATATAGTTAGCGTCTTGCCTGATAATACCAGCACTAGTGACTACCATGCATAGCGATTTCGACGTCCGACGAAAGAATGAACGCAATATCAGAATAGAGCGAGCTATCGGCAATACTGCTCTGAGGGCCCTCATAAAACTCATCAACTTCAGTCGTTGTCAAAATGGAGGTGTTCGCGCACACCAGGCGGGAAGTTACCCCTCTCAACCATGGAAAGTGGACAGTGGTTGGCGCATGCAGCCACCATCACACTCGCTTCTATTCATGGAAATCCGCCTGCAGGTGACAGCCATACAGAACGGTCCCAGGGCGGCCCCCAAGCAAATGAGGGAAATCCGGGTGTAGTGGTTGCCACGATCCGCCGTCTTAATCAGCACGCCAGCCGGCAGAGGTCGGTCGCATCGACTTTGTTCTCGCGGCAGCGGCACCAGGCCCGGGCGGGATGTTTTGCTGTCGTTGGCCGATAGACGCGTTGTTAATACATCGTGGGTTATAATGTGTGTTGGTTTGAGGGAAGCTTACTTACATACTCACTTACTCATGTGTATGAATCCTCCAAGCCATCGCAATCCTTTTGTGAAAAAATAAATAAGGGAAAGTAATCTGCGGGGAGTCGATCCTTCGCCGAAACCCCATCATCCCGAACTTGCTGGATACCGAAGTTCTCTTTTGCCCAGGCTCGAAGGAGGAGTAGCCGAGTAGGTAGACGGAAGACATCCGAGCTGGCCCCCGTCGTCCGTTCAAGATCTCTAGTCGCGTGGCAATTTCGGCCGTGGTCAGAAGTGGTCTGATTTCCCCGCCGCCGGGCGTCTTTTAAACTCAGTCAAGCTGCCAGAATGCGGGCCTTCTTGGACGGGAAGACGGCCGCTAAATGGCTGGTCAAGGTTCTTCTCGAGATACCTTGTTCAGTCGTTGACAAGGGTTGTCTTAGAGACTAAGACTAGGAAAGCAGGCCGCATGCCCGGCCGGCGCCTGCAAAACCACTCAATCCTGTTCACGAATCAGCAGCTGCCTTCTCCCCGTTTCAACCTTTCCCGTGTGCCGCGTGCGCGTGTCTCTCAAGTCACTCGACCATTCAGCATCTCTCGTTTCTTCCCCCCCGACCTACATTTCGTTTGGCGCTGTGGGCTTCTCTTGTTTCCTTCTCTGTGATTCGTCGTGCTCGTAGCCTGGGCGCGATTACAGCCGTCAAGGGCTCACAACTACGCGCCGTCTCATTGGACTCACGTTTCTACCCGCTCCCCCATCTTGGCTCTTCTCATTGCTATTCTCAGCTCTCTGGCGAAAATCCTTCCTCACCACCCCCGGGCTGGCCTGGACGATCTGGAGAAACGAAAATTGACGTGCGCCAGTGGATAGAGCCTTACCGTACCTGGACACCAACAGCTGCCCTCTTTGTGCTGTCTGCTGTCTCTCACCGGCTGGAGCCAACGCAACACTACCTTCCACTACCACACACCCTCAAAATAGACCAACCTCCATCTAACTACGTTCGCAATGCTTGCAAGTGCAGAGCCGCCTGCCTGTCTTGCATGGGGATCAGCCGTGCCGTAATACTACCTCTTCAAGACCCGGCATTATATCTGCAATGTGTTCCCGCAAAAGTGAAAGGCGATGGGGTCTCCTCAGAGATGATGAACTTTTGACTGTCTCTTTGATGGTCATCATTCTGTCCGGTCTCACTCACGGGATAGAGTCTGTCGTCTTTACTCGCCCATCGAGTTTCTCTCCTCATCAAGGGTGATATGCCATGCTGTTCAGATAATACCCCAGGCTTCACTTAATCCTACTATCCTCTCTCCCCTCCTCCCCTTCCGGCCCTCTTCCCATCTCAAGTCCAGGCCAGCCGGACGTGGAAAGGGCAAAATCATCATGGCCGTACCGTCTTTGTGGCATCTCCTGTTCGTATTCTCGCTTGTCACGGTCGTCCTCTCCCTCGAGGTTACACCCGACTCAGACTGTGCGGCGTTGTGCTTGGGTGGGCCAAACGGAACAGCAATCGACACAACGACATCAGGGACCAACTCGTCCGACATAGTCTGCGAAGACGACCAATATCACTCGACGGGCAAGGGAATCAAGTTTAGGAACTGCGTCTCGTGCCTACAGAAAAGCCAGGCGTCCAAGGGGGTGGAGAGTGACGCCTCTTGGTTTCTGTGTAAGACCTTCTCTCTCCTCCGTCCATGGGACTATCAGTGTGACTTTGGAGAACTCTTGGCTTATTTGAGATTTTTTAGACAATATCCGTTACGCGGTAGATGTCTGCCTCTTTGATTTCCCAGACACAATATCCCACATCAACTCCCCGTGTATCATCAACAGCGCCTGTCGACCTCTCAAGAACGCTCTCGCAACCGCCCTCACCACACCAGACGCCAACACCGCGTACGACTACTGCACAGCCGATGGGGACAAGTTCTCAAGCTCAAACTGGTGGTCCTGTGTCAGGTGTCTGCAATCAAGCGACAGCCAAAGCTATCTCTCAAACTGTAAGCAGTTACACTAAATCCGGCGCCCCCTTTTCACAAACGAAAGACAACATATACTGATGCCCACTTGAAGTCTTGATTGCCCTCAAAGCCGGCTGCCAGCAACAACCAGGCAACGGAACACTCCTCGGCCTAACCGGTCAGCTCTTCTCCACCGAGCCCGTCAACATCACAGACTCGAACACGAACACGACTCTACCAGGCGACGGCGGCGCCTCCTCAACAACCATGACCCTCGGCACCATCGTGGGCATCGCCGTCGGCGGTGGCCTGGTCTTTGTCGGTGCCATCTGCCTCTTCGTCATCTACTGCCGCAAGCAGCGCAAGCAGAGAATGCAAGACGAAGCAGACTACCTGCCCCCTCACCACCAACACCACCCGCCCCGGAGCCACGCAAGCTCCTTCACAGCCATCAGCAACGGCCCTTACCTCCCCATCGGCGGCGGCGTGGGAGACCATAAGAAATCCTCCTCCATCAACTCGTACAACTACGAGCTCCAGGAAAAGAACATCATCGCGAGCAGCAACAACAGCAGCTTCAACAACAACGCAGAGTACTACGACAAGCTGGAGCAGGAGGTCCAGGCCGGCCGCGACATGGCCCACTACAACTTTGACCCGCACTCGGGATTCCACGGCCCCGGCAGCGCCCTCCCGACGCACCCGGCGTACATCCCGCGGGCCATGAGCCGGCAGTCGGGCCGCACCAACACGCCCACGCCCACGCCACCGCCGGCGAACCTGAACTTGAACGTGAACGCCGCGATCCCGCGCAAGACCAACACGCCAGACTCGTACGCCCTGCAGACGTACCTGACAGCCACGGACGAGCCAGGCACGATGAGTGGCATCAGACCGCCGCCCCGCGCCGTCTCCCGGACGCCATCGCCCGCGAGGTCCCACGGCTCACATAGCGACAACACCAATAATACACCAAGGATGGTCAACATCCCGCCTCCGCCGCCGGGAAAACCGCCCGGACGGAAACAGTCCAGGAGGATCCCGTCCTTATCCCTCCCCTCGGTGCCGCGGATCCGCGTGCCGAAGCAGTACTCCCCGCCCTCCATCACAGTCCAAGGCGCCACGCCGATAGCGGACCGCGGCGAGAGGACAAACGAGATGCAAATCTCGGAACCCTTGACCTTCCACGAGGAGAGGTTCAGAGACGAGCCGCTCGCGGGCCGGTCGGCGATAATATCGCACCAGGTGCCGGTGCGGGTTGACCCTGAAGAGTACGAGGGTGATATGCCGATTCGGAGCGGCAAGAGTACTCTGTATGGATAGAAAGGACTTTGAGTTAGGTAGTGGGTAATGTGTCCTTACAATGGCGCAAAGGAACAATCGGTAGTATACCAAGGATTGTACGGAATGGAGGACGGTTCTCTCTTTTTGATATCATGGAGTTTTTTTGGAATGGGTCGGTAATTTGTATGTTTACAGCGTGCTAGCCTGCGACGTCAGGTAATCAAAGTGATCGAAAGGGTCATGGAACAAATACAATGTTCATCATTGAATAAGTCTATCGTACAACGACTATCGTAGCATTTGATTTAACCCAGACGTCTGCCAGGTCCTCTTGTCCTCCACGACTCGGGCAAAACACCGCCGCCCTGTGATACACCAGTGCTGCTACCCGAAGTTTGGGCGGAGCCACCACCGCCACCACCGCGAACGGCAGTTCCGTATCCACGCTGATTAAAGCGAGGCGTCTGCACAAGACGAGACAGAAAGCCGGGTGTAGGGATCAGGTTGCTGCCTCCGCTGAACTCAGGCCACACGCGGGACAGGAAATCGTAGAGGTGAGCGGCCAGGAAGCCCATAAGCTGGAGCATAGCGGTGTAGTATCCGCCAGGGAACAGCAACGACACGAGCATCATGCAGAACGGAGTGAGCTGAGCGGGGATGGTGACGAAGTAAAAGTTGGCCTTCATCCCACGTTGGTCTTGGGTGACGGTACGGCACATGGCGAGAATCAAAGCCGGCAGGAAGGCTCCTCCGCCCATGAGGTAGGTGCAGAGTGCCTGTGCGATATTAGCGCATGCTCCTTTGGGCCGAAGCTGGATGATGATAGTGATGGTCATGACAATGGTATAAACAGTGAACAAGAGAAACAAAAACCCAGAGTTCGGGTATTGATATGTAGGGCGCTAAGAAAACCACTCGAGCAACATTGTGAGGTTGCACGAGCCATCCATAAGACATCCCACCATGCCCACGCCACAAGCCACGTCCCTAAAGCGAAAGAGGACGGGTCGCGCCGTGAGGGTAATCTTCCTCATTTCCAGGAACCGCTGACAGCTGTGGGAATCCACTGTGCGGGCAGATAATATGAGGTGCGAGAGAGTTGTGTGTATAGCAAGAGAGGAAGATATTTCTTCTCTCGTGTGGGCATTGTGTATAATAGAGAAAGTTTCCCCAAGGGGAAATAGCGCATGGTTTTGGACGGACTGCCGGAGCAGCGACAATAACAACTTACCGTGATGACAGTGCAAACGAACATGAGATACCAGATGACATCCTCGCGCCTGGCGAACCTAGGGTTGCCGACCTCGAGCGCCGTCAGGTAGTGGTACAGGAAGTACGTGTCAAAGAGCAGGCCAAGTTGGGGGCCGGTGAGCAAGAAGTTGGTCCCGAGACGCCAAATCTGAGGCGGGATCTGGAAAAGAAACTGGGGCATGAAGATGAACCAGTATCCGTTTGCGACGCCCAGGAGAACAGAAAGAGAGGTGACGAACGCGGCTGTTGCAAATGTTCTGTTCAAGACGAGTCAGCAAGGCTGAGAAAGAGAAGTAAGGTGAGAGGGATGAGCTGTGCTTACCTTGCAACAGGCGGCGCCTGCCAGTAGGCATCGAGGAACTCGGACATATTTTCCAATGTCCAGCAAAGCTGTGTTCCAGTGCGTTGAAAAGGCAGGTAAGTAAGAAGTCGTTCAAGCAAACGAGAGAATGTGGTGATGTTGCAGATGGCAAGGCAGCTAGCAAATTGGCCAGGCTGCACTATTTATCGGCAGGGCGTTGCGGGAAAGGGAAGACGTGACCAATCAGACAGCAGGCTACAGCGCTGATGTGTTGGTGTTGGTCACCTAAGCTCTGTTCCTGACCCGTGTCCTCTCCTTTTGGGGGCGAGCTGGGGAAAGCTGGAAGGACAAAGAAGCGTGCCTACCTCTGCGCTTTTCAATTCTTTTTTTTCTGCCGCTGGAGCTCCATCTCTCTTGGGTGGGCCTGCCCCCCCAAGCGGTGAAAATTGGAGAATGCGGTCGGGTACGATTTACTTACCTTACCTTAGGTAATCGTGGTAATACCCTCCTGACCTTCTGTTTGATGGCAGCTGCAATCGCTGACAGTTGAGGGGTGATGATTGGGCAATGCCCCACCTCATCCCAAGTCTGCCCCTCCCCGCCACTGGCAGCTCCGACACACGGCGCCCACTGATAACGATTAGTGACTCCAAGAAAAAGTCCCAATTCAGCTTTGATGATACTCAATACACTTGCGATATTTCCTCAATCTTGAGACTAATTCCTCACACACCCCCCTGTTCTCGATCAAATTTGACCTATTCACACACCAGCCATGTCTGCAACATCTCACCCGCCCAGATGGGCCGCCCTCGCGCGCGACACCAACGAGACAAAGATCCAGATGGCACTCAACCTCGATGGCGGGGCATTCCCCCCCGACACGGACGAGAGGCTCACCGCGGCCGTCACCGAACACGCCTCCCAGGCAAGCAAGTCCCAGACCATCAGCGTGAACACGGGCATCGGCTTCCTCGACCACATGCTCCACGCCCTCTCCAAGCACGCCGGCTGGAGTCTGGCCATCGCTTGCAAGGGCGACCTTCACAGTTCGTCTCCCTCAGTAACAACCAGCCAGACATAGAGAGAACCATCCACCCACTTACACCTTGACCTACCCCTGCACAGTCGACGACCACCACACAGCAGAAGACGTCTGCATAGCCCTGGGCTACGCCTTCGCCGCCGCCCTCGGCAGCGCAACCGGCCTCGCCCGCTTCGGCTACGCCTACGCGCCCCTCGACGAGGCCCTCTCCCGCGCCGTCGTCGACCTCTCCAACCGGCCCTACAGCGTCGTCGAGCTTGGCCTTCGCCGCGAAAAGATTGGCGACCTGTCCTGCGAGATGATCCCCCATTGCCTCCAGAGCTTCGCCCAGGGCGCCAGAATCACCCTCCACGTCGACTGCCTCCGCGGCGAAAACGACCACCACCGCGCTGAGAGCGCCTTCAAGGCCCTCGCCGTCGCCGTTAAGATGGCCACCAGCCGCGTCGCTGGTAAGGAGGGCGAGGTGCCTAGCACCAAGGGAACCTTGAGCGCATAAGGAATGAAAAGGGAAAAATAAAAGACAGGAAAAAAAAAACACGGTAAAAACGTAAATCATGGGGAACACACAGCCTGCGGGAGAGAGGTTTCTTGGAATCATTTGAATAATCCGAGTTGATATGATACCCCCGCCAAACTCCATGCTATCATCTTTGATGGTCAAAAAAGACTACTCGTACAACAATGCCTGAATCATATCCCTCCAACCCAAACGCCATACACACTAAAGAGCAGAAGAACGTGAATCGCCCCAAAATGCAAATTAACATTATGAGCGCTGTGGTCGCATGTTCTCCTTGTTATTGCTCTGGCCCGACGCTGCGCGCCTCTTGTCGGCCTTTCTCTGTTCTATTCGCGCGATGGCCGCTGCTCGTCTCTGCGGAGGTAATGTGCTCTTGGACATGTTTGCCGCCAGCATGGTGCTGGCCTCGACATCGGGCTCTCCCGGCCCCCCTAGCCGAGCAAAACGATCCTGTAGCAAATCGATTGGTGCGTCCTTGTCCTTGCTGGAGAACCTGTGTCGAGGTGCCGGCGTGTTGCCTGTCGGAACCTCGCTCGAGGTGGCAATCCGGTCGTTCAGATCAGGACCTAGGTATTCTCTGTTGCGGGGTGACCTTGGGATAAAAGGTCGCCACTTAGGCTTGTCAAGACTGACACGGTTCGAAAAGATTTCGGACTGGGGGCGCCTTGGTGGTTCTCTCGCTGGCGGCTCGTCGTCTGAACTGGGGGAGTCGGCATCTCGCTGATATTTGTCCCGAAGATTTTGAGACTTTGGCTCGTTGAGCTTCTTCCCTAGTGATTCTACCAGGTCGAAGCTCCGGCGGCCTATTTCGGTCGATGTTTTACGGCCTTTGTGATCCGCAGTGAAGCGGTCAGTCTCTTGAGCGCGTTGTTCTCTGACGGCAGGCTCTCGTTCATGGGGAACAGCAGTGTTCTTCGTCTTCGGTACATCAGCTGTTCCTGCTTTGAGAGTCTTGTTTTCTCTCTTGAGCTCGTTGATCTTCTCCGTCGCCTTCTCTAAGATGCGCCGCGTATCTTCTTGCGTAGCTTCGGCATCCATTCTGTAATTCTCAAACTCCGACTTTAACTTGCGTAACTCATCGTCTCTCTTGCGAATCGCATCCTCTAGCTCGTCCACGCGCTTCCCCGTTGTCGTGGCGTCTTTGCCTTGTTCCTTGTTCTGTGATGGTTGTTGCTCGGCAAGCCGTTTGTTTTCTTCGGCGAGCTTGTTTGCTCGTTGCTCTGCAAACAGGAGATCAGACTTCAGCCGCTCTACTTCCTCTCGTAGCTGCCCATTCTCCTTGACTTGTGTTCTAGCCTTCCTCAATTCTCGCTGGGCCTCGAGCAAGGTCTTGTGTGTTCGTGGTGAGGCAGCCTGCCGCCGGCGCCTGCTTCGTGCATCCCCCTCGTCGTCTTCGCCATTTTCGCGGTTCTCTAAAAGGGCCGCCAATTCTTGCACCTGGGTCCGGTACTCAACAGCTACGGCAGTCTGTTTTGCCAAGTCTTTGATGAGCTGAGGGTTGTCTCTCTCTTCGCCGCTGGCTCGCTGCTTCGCAGCAATCTGCGCCGCCATCTCAGAGATCTTCTTCTCCATTTTGGCGGCCTTCTCTTGCTCCTCCCTGAGTTTGGCGTTGAGGTCGATAGCCTCGGCGTCCTTCATCTTGGCGTATGACTTGGCAAGCTGTTTGTACTTGAGCAATTTCTCCATCTCGACTTTAGCGTCCTGGTGATATTGTTCGAATTCCGATTTCCAGTACTTGCCCGACCGCGAATGGGGCTCGTTAAGGTCCATTGTGATATCGTGCATGCATTGGTCGTCGTCGGCCTCCTCCCATTCGTCCTCAGCATCGTCACTCCTGGCTGCAGTGGTCCGCGTCTGGCTCCTCTCCCGCGAGCTTGAAGTTCCTTTGTTGCGTCGTGAGTTCTCCATCGTTTCGGTCAATCTGGTGCGCTTGCTTGCGGAGTCGCTGGTCGTGTCGGCAAAACTGTCTGGGAATCTCCCCGGTCGTTCCTCGGTGTCTACTTCTTTGCCCTTTCTGTTGTCGACCTTCTTGTTATCCAGCACATCGTGCCCGAACGACACACGCTTCCGTCGAGAGGTTCCGGTTCCAGGAGTGAGAAGAATTCCTTGAGGTTGTTTCATCGGGGTTCGGGATTCAGCATCAGAGTCGTCTTCGTCCTTGCGACGCGCCATGGTGGCAGTATTATCGTCGTCAGGTCGCGCGGGTGTTCCAAAGATGGCGCTTTTGAGTGCGCGGGCGGCAAAGACGGGCGCGGGCGTATCTGGTTGCTCAATCTGTGTTGTGTCGTCTGCTGTGGATTAGAAGTCAGAAAAGCCGTGCGATGCGGCGAGAAAGAAGGGTCGGTCTGGCTGGGTCTTCTCACCTGCGCCTGCGTTTGCTCTGTTTCCCCCCGACGCGCCCTCCAACCCTCGTCTAAGAACCCAGCCCAACATCCTAGGTTGCTTGTGGGCTTCTTATCGGTGGAGGAAGTTGGTTGTGCCAGTAGATGTATGCACGCGGATCAATGGTGTTTGAGGTTGAGCGGAGTCCGACAGACGAGATCACATCACATGCGCTCGTGTCCCGGCGGGTCAGGTATCAATTATTTGCGCAGTCTTTGGTGATCTGACCGCGGCGAACAGATGTGGTTTCTCAGTTGTTTACTTTGTTACCGCATACGGACGGCGCGTCCGTGGTTCGGCCCCTGGCCCCACACAGTGCTGAGTCATCCCGTGTGCACACTGCCTCCAATGTCTGTCACTTCCATTGCCCCTCGTCTCAGGGTTCTTCAGAGCTTCAGGCGCCTTGGCCCACTGAAAAGAGCAACTAAGACGGTCAGCGTCATCATTGAGGGGCACTTGTTCGCCCCAAAACGACCCCCCACTTTCAGTTTGGCAGTGGTAAGGCACCCAGCTGAAGGCGAATGCGCCGTACTGTGACAGCGCACCAGGCCGCCAGCCGTCGATGGTCGCGGTGTGGCGCTTTCATCGGCTAGACCTGCGCTTGTGACTTCTTCCTCTTTTCTTCTTAGCTCTTCTTCACCCATATCACTATATCTGAATAACTAACTTTGCTCAACGTACCAATTATGGCTTTCCCGTAACGGACTGTCACGGCTCGCGCTGTGGTGATTCGTCAAGCCTTTTCTCGTCGTCCTCGATATGGCGTGGAAATCATCCGGGGTGTGGAACAAGCCCATCGACAAACCGCAGAAAAATGAAGATGACTCAAGCTTTCCGGGACTCAAACCAAAGGGTCCCGAGGCCGCCCCCAAGTTGGAGTATGAAGAGCTCCAGCAGAACGAGCTCATCGCCCTTGAAGCCATTTATGGAGAGGATTTCATGAGGCATGCAGAGACGCCGGGTGCCTGGAAGGTAATGAATACAACTATATCGTCCTGTCCTCTGTATAACAAGGTTTTACTGAATAGAGCGTGATGCTGACGCTCCAAACAGAAATCTGACCCCTCGTTCGATGTTCGCATCAGAGCTTCATCAGATGAAGACTTTGCAGTTACGCTGGG